ACAGAATCAAATGTGAATGTGAAAGAAATTTTGATTTTTTTTAACTTTGTAAGAAGAGAACTATAATGTTTTTGACTGTCATCGACAAACATTGAATGTCGATTAGTTTTGTGTGTGTGTGTGTGTGTGTGTATGAATGAATGAATGAATGAAAAACCGGAATCGACCCACATTATTATCGATTCTGGTTATGTTTTTATTTTTAATTGAAATTCATATAAAAAAAAATTGAATTTATTATTTTCACTTTAAAATCAAATGATGATGATAATGTGAAATTTGATTTTTTTCTCTGGTGAAAATAAAACCTTTTAAAAAGGATTCATTTAATTTGATGAATCAAGTCTGGTCGATGAAAAACGGAAACATTTCTTTTTCTGATGCAATGTGAAATGAATAAATTGAATGAATGAATTAAATTAGAGACAAGAGAAGAAAATTTTCAAAATTTGTTTCACTGAAAATGATTTTTTTTCCTGATAAATGGAGAGCAAAAAAAAAATTGAATTCAATTTACAATTTTAAATTTTCATTGAAAATTCAATTCTGGATATTCTGAATCAAACAATGAACAAAATCATTGATGATGATGATGGTGATGGCCACGAGTAAATGACCAATTTTTTTTATCACTCTCTCCAAATGAAAATTTTACATTAAGGTTTCTGGAAGGTAATCTCAGATCAAATTGAAAACAAATCGGAATGAAATTGAAAATAGCTTGAATATTGATGACTGGGAGAAAAAAAATGTTTCAACTTGCAATTTTGTTCAATATAAAAAAAAACAAGAGAAAAAAAATTTTTTTTTTTTTACAATACAAATATTTACACAAGAATATTTTCCGCTGCTGATGATTATGATGATGATGATGATCTTAAGTCAACAGGATGATTGATTCAAATATGATATTGAGAACGAAATGTATAATTCTCGGTAACATGAAATAGCCAAAAAAAAATTCTGCAATGGTAAATACGAGAATCCGTGAACCCACTTGTTCCCTGGATACATTGTTTGTGATGTGATGGTGGTAATGTAAATATTTTTCCATACAAGATGAACTCTGATGATTTGTTGCTGTTGTTTTTTTGTCTCTCTCTCTTATTTTTCCTTATTCTGATATATTAAAAATAATTTAAATTAAAATTTCCAACAAGCAGCGCCGCCGCCACCGCCACCACCCACATAATCATAACCAGTTCATTCAAAATATACAATAACAAGGGGTAAAAAAATGATTGTATCAATCTCAAGATATGATTATTACATTTTTTTTCCAACAGGGTAATTTTTTTTCGGTTCATTAATGATCCAAAAGCAAGAATTTTTTTTTTTTTTTTTTTGGAAAATGAATGATAACGCGGGCATTCATTGATAATTAACAAGTTTTTTTTTCTTCATTTTCCAATCATTATACACTGTATGTAGTCGAGAAATGAAAAAAAAAATTTTTCCTTTTCCCGTAGTTGATTGATGTTTATTGGGGTTGTAATCGATAATAATAAGAAATGAAAATGAAATCGAGAGAGCAAAGTTTTCTGTTTATGTTTTTAATATTATTGTATCAAACAATATCCAATCACCAGAATTGGGCCATTAGAAAAGAGTGAAAGATCAAAATAAATAAATAAACGAATTGTATTGGAGACCATAATCATTTGAAGATGATTTACGTTTTCGTTTGCTAGAATTCGATTCTTGTTGTTGTTGTTGTTGTTGTTGTTGTTGATGTTAATGATGATCCAATTTATATGAACATTAATTAGTATTAGACAAAAAAAACTGGCAAACAAACAGAAACAACTATTTATTATTTGAACTTCGTGCCTATCCAGTGGCAACACAAGGTTTTTTCTATTTGTTCCAGAAATTGAAATCGATAATTCTTATGGAATGAAAATCGTTTTACTTTACCGAATTGCAAACAATTAATAATAATAATAAACAACAAAACGACAAGCAACAAAAAAAAAAAAAAAAACAATGCCAAAAACCGCTCATCATCATCAACAAAACAAAACAAAATGATGATGATGAACATTTGGCATTTTGATAAACAAAACAAAACAAAACAAAAATGATATAAAAAAAAGAGAATTGAAGTGCACTCGATCGAATGAAATGAAAAAAAAAGAGAACAACCTGAACAATTATACAAAAGTATGATCATCAAATGATTCCACAGATCCAAAAAAAAAAAGAGAAGAAAAACATTTCATCATCATCATCATCATCATTATTATTTTTTTACAATCGTAAATAAATAAATAAATAAAAATAAGAAATGAAACATCAAATAATATCAATATTATAGACAATTTGAAGCCACTCGAGCGGTAACCAGTACTGATGGAATTCATATCGATAAATGTCAATGTATGAATCATCATCATCATCATCATTTTGTGTGATATATTGAAAATAAAAGAATTTCCAAAATATCTATCGATCTATCTGTTATTTCGTATTTTTTTTTATTGATATTTTCGTTTATCAACACGGCTCTTGTCTTTGTTTTTTTTTTTTTTGTTTTGTTTTGTTTCGTTTCTCTCTTTCTCACATTTTACTATATATGATTGGTTGGCCAATAAATGTACCTAAACGAAGATGAAGAAATAATAATCAATTGGGCTATAAAATCAAATCAAACAACAACAATTCACATATATCGTATATATAAGTAAGAATGACATGAATGTTTGTTGAATGAGAAATTTTAGCATTGAAAAAAAAAATAAATAAACTTTTGAACGAGATGCGAAGATTTCCGGAATATTTTATTAACCAATCGACATGATGTTTACATTCAATCATCATCCTCACTATCATGGCTATATATGAATAATTAATTAACATTCACGTTATATTTTTTCATTCATTTACAATTTAGTCAGCTTTTTAAAAAATGATGATGATGATGAGTTATCTATAATTCCAATCCAATGTCAAACAAAACAACAACAACAACAACAACAACAACAAAAAGAAACAAATCAAATCGAATCAAACGAGTGACAACGATTATAATGACAAAAATGTGACAATATTAAACAGAATGGAAAAGATAGAAAAAACATAGAAATGTTTTAATGACATTGAAGCATGTCACACACACACACACACGATAATTCCTAGGATTATGGCATCCAATAATAATAAAAAAAACATTCAAGAATTTGGCAAGTACATCAATCAATCGATACATACACACACACATAAACACTCAAAGCTGATGTATACGAAAAATCCAATCACGTAATCCAATCATCAGTTTTAATCAAACACACACACACACACACACATTTAACAATACCCGTATCGAATGATTCATATCCATTATTGTTAATGATAAATTTTATTTTTTTGTTTTTGCTTACCATTTGAATCAATGATTGATCAAAATGAGCGAAAAAAAAACGACAACAAAAATTCCAAACGATTCACTAGTGTGTATATCATCATTATCATTGTCGATGTGATGATGATGATTGTTTCAATGTCCCATGATGATGATGATGATGATGATGATGATGATGACAATGAAGATGTAAAGGATTCTTTTTATTTCGCGCTCCGTTAAAGAATTCCATTAGAATAATTGATTCTTGACACGTTTTTTTTTCACGCTCTCACATTTTTTCTATTCGTTGTTGTTGTCTATGTTCATTGTACCATATATACCATTACAATACATTGTAACCTTATGACAATTATATCGATGCATTCATTCATTCATTCATTCAATTCATTGTTGGATGATGATGAGAATAATTTTGGTACCAGAAAAAAAAATTTTTTTTTTGTATATGCACAACATCACACACAATATGGTAATTTGAGAAACAAATACAATTTTTCCACCCGAGAATACTAATGATGATCTTCCATAACGTACCGTATACATCTTGATTCTCATCATCATCTTGTATGATTTGACATTGTTTTGTTTTGTTTTTTTTTGCTGGCATTCTGTTTTTGTCATTTTTATGACAATTCTTTTGCATATGTTAATTCAGAATTAGTGATAGAGAGAAAGTGTGAGTAAAAAAAAATGAGCATCAAAATGCAAATCTGGTCCACACACACACACACACACACACATATGACACAATCATTGTTGTTGTCATTGAATTTTAAAAATTCATTCATCAACAGCCAGTAGTAACAGAGAAAAAAAATTGATGTAACAAAACAAAAGAAAGAATTACATAATCATCATAAAAATGTTCCAGAAAAAAAAACTAAGATAATTAATCTAACAACAACAACAACAACAAAATGTTTTACATTTGACATTTTCATTCATTTTCACACACACACACACACACACACACACAGAATTTGTCCAAATGTCAAAATTTTCTTTTCCTCACTTGTTCATCAAAATCATATAAATTAAGTTATTTTCAATGGAAAAAAATGTAGAATTTTTTAAATCATACACAGGGAAAAAAATAGCAACATTGAGTTGATTATGATAATGATAATGACTACCCACATCATTATTATTTACAACGCCAACATCGATATAACAGACAAGAATATGTGGGTTTAAAAAAATTTTTAAAATTATATATCATTATTCTTACATTGAATTTTCACAAACACAAAGTGCATTAAAACTAAAAAATTTCAGTACTTTCAACTGAAAGTGAAAAAATAATCAAGAAGAAAAAACGATGAACCGAATGAAAATATACAGGTTTTTTTTTGTAATGTAAATTCTTCATTTTACCATTTTTGTTTATGTGAATGCGTCTGGAGAATGTCCAGTGAGAATAATAAAATAAAATGAATATATATGTCGTCTCTTGTCTTGTATATTTGTAATAATAATTACCATTCGTAATTTTCAAATTTAATTAATTCCACTACTACTATTTTTTCAATAAATAATGATGTTGAATAAAGTTCAAACGTATTTAACCCTGGTGATTATGATATGAAATTGAATGGAATTTTAAATTAACAGAATAGAAAGTTTGAAAAAAACTTACATATATGTTTTGGTCCAGTCAAACCATGGCCACCGCCACCAAATCGTCCAGTTGTACCCATAATTTTAAAATTACAAAATTTTTATATAAATGATGATGATGATGATGATTTTGGAAATTGTTGCCGAATAAAAATTGACAATCGATGAATGATTTATGATACCTATGTATATGTTAATGAGAAAACAAATGAATGACAAAAATCAATTAAATTAAAGAAATTTTTAGTTGTTTTTTTTCGTTGAAAAAAAATGATGGTGGTAATGGACAAGAATTCCAACGATAATGGACAAGAATTAAAAAAAAAAAGTTTATGAATATAATAAATAAATTATAGATTGGAAACAACAACAACAACAACAACAAAAAATTTTCTTCATTCATTCATTCAATGGAATCTATAATGGAGATCTTTATGAAAAAAAAAATTTTCAGTTTTCCATTTTTTATCCATTCATTCATTCATACACACGGTGATTATATAATGATGATGGATATACTATGTGTGTGTGTGTGTGTTTCGATTATTGAAAAATGTGAAAAATAAAAATAAAAAAATTCTGCACAACAAAAGGTCAAAAATGGAAATCGATGAATCTCTAATCGAATCTGTTATGTGTATGTAAATGTTTTTCGACCATTTTTTTACATTGAAAAAAAAATTTAAAATCAATTTTAGCCCATTTTCATAATCATATATGATGATTTAAGGACAAAGCACTAGCAACGAAAAACAGCAAGATTCTATTGGTATGAATAATAAATTCATTCAAATTTTTTTTTTTGCCATTTTGACCTGAATCCAAAATTTTTTTGAAGTAGTAGTAGTAGTAGTAGAAGAAAAAGAAGAAAATGAATCCATTCGCGTGTAAAATCATCATTAATAACAGGTCCAATTCCATTATTTTTTTTTTTTTTTTTATATTTTTTCTTTGGATTAACGGTTGTAAATAAAGAGAGAAAAAAAATTGATGATGAGCACCAATCTAATGATGAAACAAGACCCAAAAAAAAAAAACATACACACAGAGAAAGTAATAACAACAACAAAAAAAACAGTGAGATAAACTAATTTCGATCCCAATTCTTATGTATGTCTTATGTATTGGAAAGAAAAAAAATTTTCCGTTTCTATGCAACGAAATTTTTGTTTGTTTGTTTGTTTGTTTTCAAGAAAACAAATTCGAAATTCGTAAGAATCTTTAATTAGACCAAGACTATTCTATATATATCCATTTTGAATTCTTCCGATTTTCATCCATCATGACTATTAAGATTAATTCGTTTGTGTGTGCGTTTTGACATTGGAAATGAAATTCGTTTCTCTTCATTATCAGTAACATCAATTTCAATGGACAAAATTCTACTTGGATTATTTGCCATAGAGAAATTAATCAAGAATTTAAATGATGGAATTTATTTATTTTTTTCACAAAATTCAGACATAAAAAGCATCAATTTTTCTTCTGCAAAAAAAAAAGAAATGCGTTGGTGGACGGATGGTTGTAGATGGTTGGAGAACAACAGAAAACAAATCGATACAAAATTCAGCCATCAAAATGGGAAATTTATCAGTTTAAATTTTTGAAATGAAAACAAAAATGAAAACCGGAAAACAAAATTCTCGGAAAAAAAAAAAAAAAACCATCATTCCGAATAAAAGGTATCGGTAAAAGTGATAAGCGAACCGAAAGAATTTCCTGAATACATGTATATAGGAATAAAGTCTTAAATGTGTGTTGGATGTTTATGTGACTGGTCATGATATTGTTGCTGTCGATGAATTCATTTTTGTTTTTGTTTTTCCGCTTTTTGTTCATCAATGTTTGCACTTTTTCGGAACAAATGACTTCACACACACACACACACACACACACACACAGAATTCAATTTGATACGGTTCAATTCCTATCTTTTTTTTCAGTTATATTCTGCAAGCTGCTTTTTTTTGCAGTTTTTTCCCATTTCCTTTCTTGTTTTTGGTTTTCATTTTCATTTTCATTTTGTTTGAGTATGTTTGAATGTGAAATGTGTATTGTTAGAAATCGATTGATTGAATCGATAACGGTAAATTTTTTTTTGTTGTTGTTTTTTCATCACGATGTGTTGTTAGCATCCATATTATGGTGGTATTCCCAATACAATGTAACAACTGTGTGTGTGCGTGTTGGCAGCAGCAGCAGCAGCAGCGGTAGTAGAGAATCCAGAATAATAATAATGATGGAAACCAAAAGAATAATGGTGCATTGTGTGTGTGTGTGTGTGTGTGTGTGTGTGTAAAAAAAAGAAAGGTATAGTAAGTAGGCTCACTCTAGCTAATATAACCAACTTTTATTTCTGCCGGTTATTATATATTCAAAGGTAGAAAAATAACAACACAACAAAAAAAAAGCCACAACGAAAATCCAGATGTTGATCATACATAAATGAATAAAAGTATACAAGAAGAGAGAGAGAGAAAAAAAACTACAGACATTTCGTCGACCAATAACATACTTAACCGATATTACCGTATAGAAAAAAAAACATTAACAACAACAACAGAGAAAAAAAATGAAAATAAAAATAAATGAACAAACGAAAGTAAAAAAAAAAACCATCAGTCTTTGTCCACTGTCGATCGATTGACAATCATAATTCCTATATAGAAAAAAAAAAACAAGAAAGACATTGTGCAATAATAAGTTTCAACATCATCATGAGGAACCAAAGAAAATGAAATGAAGCCATGGCTTCTGTGTTATTATTCTTTGGCCAGGAAAAAAAAGATGTAATGTTTGGCCTTAATACACTCATACACACACACACACACACACACACAATAGAATAACAACACCTTTTTTCTTTTCTTTTCTTTTCATCTTTTTCTTTCTTATATTCTGTTCCAAAAAAAAAAAAAAAAAAAAAATACACCATAGATGGATGATTAATAACCTTATCATTGATCATAGTTTTTAAGCCATAATTTTTTTCTTCTTTCGATAATAAAAAACCAGAATCTAAGATATTCTTATATGATTCTGAATAAATAAATGAATGAAAAAAAAAAAAAACTTGAAAGAATCAATGGATAAAAACATTATGTTTGATATCATGAAGATCATGAATATGGTAATAATGAATGAATGAATGAATGAATAAGAGGATTTACCACCGTTTGTGTTTGTGTGTAAATACGTATAGCAAAAGAATGATAAACAAAATTCATACCTTTGTGTTGAATATCATGAATCGTAGTTCAGATTCAATCTGATGATGATTGATGATGATTGATTTAAATAAAAATTCTTATAGTACACGTAACAAAACAGAATAATTAATTAATTAATTCTCAATGAAAATTGAAATTCACAAAAACATCAAACGCACACACACACTGACACACAAAGTTCGTGATTCTAGATAATTAGATATATATTCTATATATAGACAAAACAAATTATGAAAACAAACAACAAATATTGAATATCAAACAATCATAAAAAAATTAATAGAATTTTTTTTTGGTTGAAAAAATAAACTTTTCAATAGATATCACACACTATGAATCGGTCATTTGGCTTGCTCATTCATTCATTCATTCATCAGTCGACCATAGAAAACAAGTCACTTGTTTTGTTTTGTATCCAAACACAATGTCGAATTGTTGAATCGAAGAAAAAAAACACACACAACAAAGACTAAATTGAATGAATGAATAAATAATTTGGTTTTGTTTTCCCAATAATAAAAAAAAAACAAACACAATAATGTTTTCTAAGGATCAGGCAGTCTACAACAACAACAACAACCACACGGCCCAAAATCACCATATCACATACAACAAATGAAATGAAACAATTTCGAAAAATGAATAATTTCATTGAACACATTCATAAAAACAATGAATTTTGTTTTCGATAAAAACTAGCCGCAAAAAAAAAAATTAGTGTTATCATACCATATACACACACCGAAACACACTGACAAAATAAAATGGAGAAAAAAAAGCAGCCAAAACAAAAACAAGAACAAGAGAAGAAACATCATTAATGCCACCAGTAAGGTTTTTATTGATGCGCATCCCAATTTTTTGGTACTGAAATTTAGTTTTTTTCTGGATTGTTCGGCCAGGTTTTCATTCATTCATTCATTCATTTATTCATGTCAAGAATCGCGCCGGCGTCAACGGTAAAATTTAGAAATGGGAAAAAAGGAAACATCATTCCACCAACAACACCACCACCACCACAAATATCTCCAGTGTGTCTGTCTGTATGAGTTATCATTATCAATGGTTTTATATCTAAAGTGAAAAAAAAAAATGAAAATGAAAAATATACAAAAATGGCAACGAAATTCATACAGAAAATTCAAAAAAAAAAAAAAGAAAATGAAAACGAAAGTTGTTATTATACTCTATCCACTATCATTATTATCTTGATTCTAATGTTGTTGTTGTTGTTGTTGGCATGAGACTAGCAATATTTTTGCTGAAAATAAAATAGTGGCGCCAAAACATGGTGTGAAATGAGATGATGTGAATAAATTCTATGAATGAATGAATGAAGTGAATGAAGAAAAAAAAACATAAATAAATAAATAGATGAATTTTCATTCTCTTCTTCTATTCTGGTTCGTCAAATACTAATAATAATAAGAATACAAAAAACATCAACAGAAACCTGGAATAAAATCCTATTGATGCGTGTGTGTGTGTGTGTGTGCGTGTCTGTGTTCATGCGAGGGAGGCAAATCAAACTACAAAGAATAAATAAAAATGAGAAACGGTATGGAATGGAAGTAAAGCAAAGCAAAAAAAAAAAAATAAGAAGAAAAGTCATGAATATCTAATTTGGTTGTTATTATTAACATTTTATTTCTGTTTAAATAAATAAATAAATAAATAAAAAGGAATTCAATGAGAATAAAATTGCCAGATTGACCAAGTGGTGGGGAAGGACAACAAAAAAAAATTTTCTTATTGAAAAACACTTCCTCCTGTCCCCTCTGGATCAGGTGACCATTAAGAAATGATGAGAGAATAAAAAAAATTTTCTAATTTCTCTTCATTTGCATTTTTTATTTAGCCTACGTAAAATTCTGGTGAAAAAAAAAATTCAAAAGAAAAAATGTTCTATTGTTATCATTCGGACCAAAGAACAACAACAACAAACCACTTCCATTTGTATCCACAAATAAGTTTATTTTGAAACCGGTTTTTTTGCTTTCTTTTACAGAAACATCATAATAGATCAATAAGTAATAGCATCCATTATTATAATGATGATGATTATTATTATGTTTATATATATTGTCATCATATTTTGGCAACCAAAAAAAAACGGAAAACAACAAATGTCCAAATGTCCATTGTTTATCAATAGTAATAAATCAAAAAAAAAAAAAAAAAAAAATTGAAAACAAAATAAGAATACAAGAATGGGAAAAAAGCAAATTTGTCATTAAAAATGTGTTGTGGTCATGGTCATAGTGACCATTTTTCTTCAACAATAATGGCCAAAAATGAAAAAAAAAAAATATGAAAACAGAATCTATCCAAACACAAACAAACGTCCACCCGGTTAGAGAGTAAACAACAGAGAAAAAAATTTCGCTAATAATTCATCGAAAACATCATCATTTCGATTCATTATATTATTATTATTATTGTTACCGTTACCGTTATCGTTATCATTATTATAGATTTGAGTTTGGTTCAAATACAATCGACAAACATACACAAACAAACGAAACAAGACAAAACAAAACAAAACAAAACAAAAAAAACAACAAACACACAAATATACAGGATATATTCAGACTTGTTCGATAACAATGTTCACGATTACAAGTCGATAGTTTTTCATTCCATTTTGTGATCATCATCATTATTATTAAAACCAAACACAATTAGTTGATGTTGGTGTTGTTGTTGTTGTCTTGTAAAAAGCATCATACTCATCCATTATATTCGATTGGGATGATGGAAAAGTGCGCTTCCCTACATTGCATTTTTGTTGGTTTTTTTTTCACAACTGTTTTTATTTTCTGGATTATTAATGTAATGAGATATATATTCGTTATTTTTTTCTCGCATGTCTGCACTGATGCCAGTGATAAAGCTATGGCGGGCGTTTTACAACAAGTAGATGACAATGGAATACGGTACGTTGTGGAATATTTCTCGATGAAATTTACTGATTGTCAAAGTCGTTATGCCACTATTGAAAAAGAGGCTACTGCTCTCAAAACGGCGATCGATTAATGGTCAACATATTTAAAAGGCAAATGTTTCAAATTAGAAACTGATCATCGTCCGTTAGTGTGGATTAAATCCATGGTTAATCGTAACAATAAGTTGGCAAGAATGGCAATCGAACTGGCTGAATATGAATTTGAAATCAGTCATGTGAAAGGTAAAGACAATTGTGATGCTGATGCATTGTCAAGAATCGAAATTTCTGCGATACAATTCGACGAATTGTCATCCGAACAAGAATCTGATAAATTATTGTTAGAATTCGTAAGCGTGGCCGCCCTCGTAAGGGGGTATAATGGTCGTGAGTCTGTAGTGCGACCCCAAGTGGCGTAAAGCCCAAGCAACACGTGTTGTGTTGCTCATTTTCTATTTTTTTTTTTTTTGTATATAAAAGTTGCTTTTTGGACGTGAACGAATAAAGTCATTTTGTGAAATTGAAAATAAATCTTTCATTTATTTGTGTGATTTTTGAATGATATCTCATTACAACACACATAAAATTATATAATGTTCGACGCTAATAAAATCCATTCTAATGGTATTTATGTTCATTGAAAAACAATCGAATAAAATTGAAAATCAAAACAATTTGATCATTTTTTGATAATAGAATTTTTTTTCAAAATTCAATGTTGAAATTTAAAAAAATTCTTTTCAGCATATAAATTGGGTGTTGAATCTAATATAAATAGTAGATTGGTGTTCGATAATTAGATTCGATATCCAACTGCTATTTAAACAATTGGCGTTTACGCCATTCTGAGTTAGTTTTAGAATTGCCTCGAACTTGCCTGTTTTTTGTTTAAATTGAATAAAATTTTGAATTCAACTTCTAAACGTCTCTTGCTCTTATTCTAAAAGATTTGGATCCACCGGATAAAAATCTTAATAAAATGGAAAATAACAATTACAATTCCCAATGTTGTCGTGAAACACGATGGTGCTGATGTCTAAGCAATTAAAAGTAAAAGTACACGTCAACGTTCTATAATCGAACTAAAACTAAATTCTAAATTCAACGTACGTATAATATAACATATTTAATGTTAAACTTTATTCCAATCCATTTTAGTGTTTTAGTTGACGATGTACATCACTAAATAATAAACCATATATATAATTTATATCCTTTTTACTAAGCATTTTTCTTTGTTTGTTTGATCGTTTGTTAATTTCTGAAGATAGATTTCATCACACTATGTAAATCGTCAAACAGAATATAGTAGTCAATTTCGATGGATCCAGATCTCTAATGATTGAAACAAAACCATTGAAACAAGTGTTGGAATTGTTGAAACTAATATTGATCGTTTGGCCAATTAACAAAACGGTAATCATCAGACCACAAACATCATCCGCATTATCGTTTCTTGGTTTATAACGAAAGTCATATTTCAATATCGGATTATCCCATTGCAGCAAAACCGAATTGGAGAGTTTCAAATTGTCAAAAATTTTGGACAATTAAATCATCTTTGTAAATATATTTAAATTTAAATTTAATATTTTCCAGCATTTGTGATAATTGATTCTAATTGACTTTGTTTTTTTTTTGCAGCGAAAAAATGCTGGCGTTTTTCGGCTGGATAATTCGTTGGTTACGACAATTTTTTATCCATTGGAGATATTTTTGAATGGATAAAATATTGCATGATTACATGAAATTCATTGATAATCGTATATAAATCAAACAAAATGGAGTCAATTTTTTTTCCTATCTTAACAAATCCTTTTTTTCGATCAATAAATCGAATACAATAATGATAATGTTGTTGTTGTTTGAACGAGAATCCAAAAAGTTCTTATAAGAATCCTACAACACAAGATGATGATAGATGTGTTCATTACAAATGTGTAATATTATGGTTATAATAAAGTGGAAAAACCAAAACTGTCAAACTAAATAAAAAGAATCAGCAAAAAAAACCCACTAATTCTTCATATGAATAGAAAAAAATTTGTAAAAAAAAAAAAAGAAAGTGAACATGAAATGAATGTTAAAATCAAAAAAAAAAAAAAAATATTAAATGAACCAGAAATTTTGTTTTTCTTGTTCAATAGAAGAAGAATCCAGAACAAAAACATTTGACATGAACACAATAAAGTGACATGAACAATTAATCTGACATTTTTCGTTTTTCGTTTTTGGTTGGTCGATGTCACTCTGTATCTATCGTCACTCTTAACCTTTTTGCTTTGCAGAATTCTTAAAATTTAGAATCTAGATAAAAACAAGAAAAGATTTTAAAAGTATGAAAAAAAACTTATTCAATTGAAAATAGTCGATAGTCGCAGCTGCACACAAAACAGACAAACTAGCTAGCTAGCTATAGAATAAAAAATTCGAGTATATTCTGGTTATATCGAAGAAAAAAAAACAAACATAGAACCATTGAGCTTGAAAAGTTTTTTTTTGCATTTCATTTCAAACATGGCTATAATACTAATCAAATTAAAAGATTTTTTTTATGTTCTTTAGTTATATTCATGTCATCATCATTATCATTATAGAATCATCATAGAATTGATGTCATAAGTTGATCGTTTTTTGTCGTGTACTATGATGATCTGGATGGTTTGTGTGTGTGTGTGAGTTTGTGAGAGAGAGAAAAAAAACAACAAATTTTTGGTTAGTTTTTGTTGTTTTCTCTTCTCTCGATTGCAAGATGAAAAAAAAAAATGAAAACCAAAACCAGAACAAGAAATCAGGAAAAGAGAGAGAGAGAGAGAGAGAGAAAACATTACAAGGGCGTCAATGTAGAAATTATAATTGAATTAATTCATTTTTTACTGATGATTAGCTTTTGTTTTTCTTTCGTTTTGTTCTTCTCTCTCTCTCTCTCTCTGATTCTTTCTGGAACAAAAATATGATCCAAACACACTCAAAAATTCATATTTGTTTTTTTTTCATTGTATATGGAATAACAAAAAAAAACCACAAATTTAATTTGATTAGTTTCATCGATGATGTTTACAATAATAATAACAATTCAGTGGTGAAAAAAAAAATAACAAAACCAACACACACAAACACACCCAGTTTCTTTTTTTACTTCATATCACTGATTGCCTGATGAAAATAAGACGAGAATCACCAATACAGGCCACCAAAAAAAAAAAAAACCATATAGACATTATTATCATTATTCTAATCAAAATAATCGAATCCAATCAATCAATGGTCAATCAAACATTAAATTTATCGATGGAAAGTATGAAGAAAAAAAAGTACATTGTCTATTGGATATCTATTGAATGAATATAAAAAATTAGCAGAAATGAGAAAAAAAATACAAAATTACATTGTACAAAATTTTACAGACAAACAAAAGTTATGAATTACATGTGATCATGATTTTCATTTACCGTAATTGCATACCATCAAATATCTATCCACTATGACTGACATTAGATATCGAATGTGAAAATGAAGAAAACCTTTATGTTGAAGAGAGAAAAAAAATTGAACACCAGAAATAAAACACCAGGAAAACAAACATACATATTTTTCTGGCCAGAATATTATCGTCTCTATATTCATAAATATATCGAAAAAAAGTGTATAGAATTTCGATATAAATAGAATATTTTTTTCCATGAATTTTGAGTGATCATTCAAATTGATCATCATCATCACAAAAAAAAACAAACAGAATAAATTTGGACAAAACCATAAGAATGAAGCATGAGAAAATAATAATATCAACAATTCAATGTATAATACCAACACCAACACACACACAAACACAAACGCAAACTGTGGCAGCAGTAAAAATTTTTTTTTTTTTACTATTTGCTATTTTTTTCTCTGCCACTCAATTTCGATTTGGATCACACATACACACAGTTAACACCAACAATGTGATGATACAATGATGATGATGATGATGATGATGATGATGAACATCGAGCGTGATGATCACCATCTATTAAAGTTGAAAAGAACATCAAAAAAAAAAACAACAACAACAAAAAGAAAACAGAATTCTTTAGGAATTAAGCGTCTACAATGATGATGATGATAATCAAGAATAAAAAAAAGTGGAAAAGAAAGAAAGAAAAAAAAAAACGATAAAAAAACAACAAGAATTGTACGTTTGTAAATGGGAAACAATATAATACAAACGTTGTGTGTGTGTACGAGAGATAATATCAAATGTGAAAATAAAAAAAAAATAAATAAGTGTGGTAATCACACAAACACTCAAAGAATATAAAACAGTACAACAGAATAAAAATCAAAAAACAAGAGAGAATTTTTTACTCTCACACCGTCTCTCTTTGTAAATGAATGGAAAAGAAAAAGAGAGAAAAAAAAACATCTTTATTATCATCATCATCATCATTTATTTTGATTATTGTTTTCGTTACTGTTGTTGTTTCTTCAACAATCTTGTGTGTTGGAATTTTTTTTTTTTTGGGATTAGAATTTTTATATTTGTCTTTTCAAAAAAATTTTTTGTTTTGTTTTCATTCAAACAACGAAACAAAATAATCGATTCAAACGTAAGTAATTTATCCATACACAAACACACACACACACACACACACATATTCAGTCGCATTTGAAATTCAGATAACCATGGAAAAAAAAGGAGATTAGAAACTAGTCTTTGAAACTAGATTGTGAAATTGAAAACAAACCTGAAATCAAATTCATAAGGTACATTGAATCGTGTTTATGTTGAAAATTTTCAATAAACAGACAAAATACTCAAAAAATTGAAAAAAAATTAACATAATTGTATGCAGAATTTTTCTGTTTTCTTTTTGGTTGTTTATATATGGTGATGATGATTGAAATTCTTCAATTTAAAATTTGAAACAAAAAGAATTTCAATCACTATACACACAAGCACAAAAAGATCACATGAAATGAATCGAAACACTAATTACCAATTACTAAATACAAATTGAAATTGACTGCCGTTTAGATGGATAGAATTTCCATCAACCAAAGAGCTGAAAATTGAAATTCTATGATGATGATGATGATGAAAAAACAAAATAAACAAAAACAATCTCTGTTTTTGAGATGATTATCGTACAAAAACAAAGTTCCAAGAATAGCTCAAAGCTTTTCTGTTTTATTTTTTTCAATCAAATGCGAAAGAAAAAAAAATTACAAGGTCCATCAGAAGAAAAATAAAACATTGATTGAAATCAATTCAACCGATTAGATGGACAAAACTAGAAAAAAAAAAAGAAAAATCGGTTAGCTGCAAATGCCAAAGATTGATTATCACTATTGGCTCATTTTATTGTCGTTGGGCCTGTTTTGGTTATTTTTTTTTTTTCTCCCCATTCCAAAATCATCAATGTCTGATGACAAGCCAGTAAGCAGAGGCTAAGAAAAAAAAAGAAAACTTTGATTTTCACTTCATTTTTTTTTCCTTTTGCTCATCTTCATTCTCATTATATAATTATCATCGTAATCATCAATCAGTATGAAACATTCTAGAACAGATAATGTTTTCAAATGTTTCAAATGGAATTGAAGAATTGGAAAAAATAATAATAATAAAAACAAACAAAAACAAAAACAAAAATAACAAAGTTTCGATAAAAATCCAATCACAGAAAAGAAAGAGAGAGAGATGTGTACACTATAGTTTCTAACAAATCAAGGTCTCGGTCAAGCGCAAATAATCAAATCAAATCAAATTTATATATCTAAATTGTGAAATAAAGCACGAAAAAAAACTGAAGGGGAAATAAGTGAGTTTGGGGATAGACAAAAAAATGGGCGATTTACACACACACACACGCATACACATACAAAACATAGCGATAGCCTGAAACTGATCGGAATCCAAAATCAGTCAGTCGTTTCAGTAGTAACCAAAATGAAAGATGAAACAAAAATAAAAGTAAAAAAATTCAGATCCAAAACACACACATACAAACACATGATTATTATAATTTGGTCTATAGAGTAAATGTATGTATGTGTTTGTGTGTTTGGTGAATTTTTTGTTGTTGTTGTTGTTTTTTTTCACAGCAATTTAGATTTCAACATAATAATAATGTCGACAACAGCAATGATCCAGTATCGCTACAAAAAAAAACCATTCAAATATTGGGAATATATATTTTTTTAACGAAATTCATGGATTCTATAGATAAACTGTTTTTAGTTTATCAATTGTAGATATTCAATTAGAAACCATCGTATATATTTGAATATAGCATGAACATGAAAGAAATCTAGAGATACATGATTAAAGTTAACATTATCATCATGTTATTAATGACAAGTTATTCACTTTGCTTACGTTAAAGGACAAGAAAAAAGGGTGATTGTAACTTTTGATTTATATATTTATACATTATGATGAACGGATCACATGTCATTGTGATTCAAAACATTGTCTTCTGCTCTCAAACCAAGTTTTTTTTTCTCGCGAAAAAATGATTTTAAATATTTCATGGAAATCTATATGAAGAAAAAAAAGATGAAAAGAAAACATATTGAATTATTGAGAAAGGATTTGTATAGGAAAAATTTAAAAGAAGAAAAGTGAAAAAAATGAAAATCTAAGCAAAGTATTTTCCAAGAATAATGAAAGAGAAAAATATGAAAAAAAATAATTGACGAAGACGACGACAACGACGACGAGAATTGAAATTATAGAATTGACTACCAACCATTTTGGTTTTGATGTCTTCATTCATTCGTAATGAGATGTGTTTGGAATGTTAAAAATCTATATATGAGGAGAAAAAATTCAGACATCATTTTTGATGTTGATGATGACGATGAAAATAGCCGCAAAATACAAAAAAAAATAGAGAAATGAAATGATGTGAAGCATCATTTTCGTAGGTTTTTTGTCCTCTTTGAAAAAAAAAAATTCAAATAAATATTTTCAACGTTAGTAATTGATGATACATATCAAAGATTTTGGGTAACTTACCTTCAAAGAATTTTTTTTCTATACACTTTTGATAGTGTGTTGTAAAAATTGATTTAAATTTTAAATGCACATTTCTTGTTCTGGTTCTGGTTCTGGTTGTTGTTATTGTTGTTGTTATTGTTATTGTTGTTGTCATCATCATCAAACAAATGTGTGTTAAAAAGTGAAATAAAATAAAAAAAAATTCTTTTCTAAATTGATAAACGCCCATTAACGTGAACAGAAATGTAAACGATTCTTTCGGTGATGATGATGATGTTGATGATGATGGCGGTCGTTACGACGGAAATCTAACGATCATAATGTATTTGGAATATGACAAGAAATATAAATCGGAATCGGAAATTAAATAAAATCGATTTCATAAAACATCACAGATGAAAAGAAACAACAAAAAGAGGTAAAAGAATTCGAACATGAAACAAGAAGAATGAACAAAACAAAAAAAAATGTATTCTAATAATCGATTGTATCGATTATGATTCATCATTGTTCGAATCATCATGATCATCATCATCATTCGAATTGAATGTAGTTGAATTCTCTTTTGTTCATTGATGGAATTTTGTTTTTTTCATTTGTATATTGATTGAAAGAAAATTACAAATTTTAAATTGGAAACATTTTCATTTCTGATTCTTGATTTATTATTGTTTTGATTTGCATAACTTTATTCTTGAATTCATTTCAGGTATTATATACTAAACGTTATTATCATGAGATTTTGTCATTCTCGAAATCAATTTATCTGATTGAATATTGTAATTCTTTTATTTTTTTTTTTTTCGTTCACACTATTCCATAGAAGACTGTTCTATTAAATTATGATGATTATGAGTATTGCAATCAGCTTTTTGGTTTCCCCTTCCATCCACCCACCACCACCATCACATCCAGACAATCAGATAAATATCGAATCAATAGAGAGGAGAAAAAAAAGAATCTTAACGTTAAAATCCTTTAACAAAATTCATGGTAAATTGCTTCTGTGCATTTGGGAAAATTACGGCAACAGACAAACAACAACAACAACGACAACGAAGAAAAAAGCTTTGGTATCATCATTCTTTTTTTTATGGCAAAATTTTCCAAAGAAGTTCTAATTCATTGAAGTGAAACGCACAGTAAATTGTAAGCAAACAAGAAATACGATGAATTTTCATTCTGCCCATCTGTAAGTAAGTTCCGGTGTTATGTATCTGTACATTTATAGGATTAACTATAACAACAGATTTTGTATTTGAAATTGAATTTTTTTTTTTTCATTTTTTAAAGCAAACGGATGGAAAATTTTCTTTCTCTCTCTCTCTCTCTCTTGGTGATTTGAGCTGAATAAAATGAGAAGTATACAAAAACGGGAATTTAATCTACAAAAATGCTCATACTATTCTTTTCTTCTAGCTGCTGTTACTGATGCTAGTCATCAGGTGAAACGATTTGATATGAAAAGAAAATATGAATACATACAAATATTATTGTTACTAGATGAAAAAAAAAGAAGAAAAGGAAAACGTTTTGTGGAAAAAAAAGAGAGAAAAACATTTCTCATGACATAATCTTGAATAGAAAATCTTTATTGTATGAACATATTGTATGGTATTCGTGAAAATTGAATCCAAAAAAGAGCCAAAAAGACTTCACAAAACCAAGAAAAGAAGATATTTCTTCTTCTTTGATAATGATGACGACTGAAAATTAGATTTTTTTTTTGTTCATTATGATGATTGGCTATGATATATATCGGAAATTCGTTAAACTATCACACACATACATCGACGCCCACTCAAACACATATTTCCGGATGTGTTGTTTATTTCATCATAATTTCACATGTTTACATTTTCAATGAAGAAGACGACATCGTTAAATTGGAAAATCCATTCAATTATTATATTATTATTTTTATGTCAATTAAATGGTATGTACTATTTTTCCATATGAATAAAATCAATGGAATGTATTTGAAATTCAAAAATTGTCATCGACCAATGTTCATTGATAATAATTATATATATATATTTGTAATGAAATGAAATGATGCATTCCATTGATAGTTTTTTTTTTTTTTTCTCTCATTGGATTATAGGTTTTTTTCGCAAGAATTTTTTGTCGAAATTATTCATTCAATTCATTCATTGATTTGAGATTCCATAAATAGTCGATTTTTTAATTCTTTGGATAACTAAAGAACGCTGAAATGAATATAACTGAACAATGCAATGAAATTCTTCACATAAATTCAACATTTTTATGATGATGATGATGAACATCTCGATGAAATGAAAATCGAAATTTCAAATCATTAAAATTCTACGAAACAAAAAAAAAATTCCAAAATATCGTTCCAATCAAGTTTAATGAGTTATCATTATCATCATCATCATCATCATTATTATCAAAATGTTTTTCCCATTCAATTGTCGTATCATTCATTACAATAATCATCATCATCATCATCATAATGTTAATCGATGAACAGTGAACAGAAGAAAAAACTTTTACATTAAGAACAATAGACAAAACAACAACAGTATTGATATATAATAAAAGCATCGAAAAATGAAAAACAAAACAAAAAAAAACGATTCCATTGTGCCAATATCGTCCATTTGAAAAAAAAATAGAAATCGAATCTAAACCGTTTTTTTTTCTTTTGGAAATTGGTAAGTAAACTTTTTTATTATATTACTTTAATATATTGTAATGTCAAAAAAAAAAACAATATCACCTATATGAGATTAAATGTATGCTATTGATTTGTGTTTGTGTGTGTGTGTGTGTGTGTGTGTAGCCGTATATATGGTCTATTTGCGATAAAGGTTAAAATTTTCAATATACAGTTGTTGTTTCGTCTATAATAACTCTGTCTAAAATCATTAAATTCACAATACACTGGACAAAAATTCTTGTAATTGGATGTCCTACAGAATTTAACTTGACATAAAAAAAAATTATTTCATTTTTCTTAAAAAATGAGAAAAAGAAAATCTTGAAACTTTTATATTTTTCTTTATTTTTGTCTGTCTGTGTGTGTGTTTAAAAAGTCTTGTTTAGTTTATTGAAAATGATAATTTCAGTATTCAATTTTTTTTGCACACAGAGAAAAAAAACATTAGTTTGCAACTTTTTTTTTGTCTAATTAATTCATTATATGTTCAGGATCACAATTATTTTTCTGCCATTCATAAATGTGTACTATACTTGTTATTTTTTTCGCCTAATGATAACTAATCTTTTTGGGAGAAAAAAAAGAAAAACAAATTTTTTTTTGTATTTATAAACTTTTCCTGTATATAAATTGAAACTTGCCCATATGGAGGTATATGATAATTATTTTTCCATTATAACGGTAAATTAATGATGATTTTCTCTCTTTTTTTCTGATCCCATGACCAAAAAAAGGATTGACACAGATGTTGTCGTTGTTGTTGTTATCTTCTTTTCTATTAATATTCTAAATATTTAACCTAGATTTTCAATGTGTTTGTGAACATAATTGAATGTTTTTAATCTATTTATAATATAATATACAAAACTGGATTGATTGATGATCATCATCAATGATTATAATAATGATGATGATGATAATGATAACGAGAGTGATTACTAATTTTGAATTTCCGGTCTTTCTCATCTTTTTTTTGTTGTTGTTGCTGTTATTCATTTTTTCCATCATTATCATCATTACTTAATGATTAATTCAATTCAGATTTTCATTCACTTTTCCATACATATGGAATTCAATATAATTTGTGCCATACTTGTAGAGTGAATGAATGAAAAAGTTTGATAATGACATTCAACAAAAAAAATGGGATGGAAATCAAAAATAAATAAACAAACAAACAAACCAACAAGCAACAACAACAACAACAACAGTTTACTATCATACACATCAAATGAATTAAATTGAGAATAAAATATACCACAGCTTTGTCACAAAGAGAGAGAGAGAGAAAGAATGCTAATTTTTTTTCTTCCACCCAAACCACAAAAGTTTTTTTTTTGGTGAATTTTTTTTCTCTTGCCAGGCGTGCCTAGTTCATTTTCTACATTTGAACTACCGAAGTTATTCTTTTTGTACCATTAAAGTTTTTTTTCACCATATTCATTTTATTCCATTGAAGATTTAATTGAAAGTCTTTGTTGATGATAATGTTCACCGTACAAAATGTGTACATTTTGGTACTAATTCTAATTCATTTGGAATTTATCATTTTTTTCATCATAATTCTTTTTCAAATCGAAATCTGTCTATCTATGAAAAAGAAGCTTTATTTCCATCCATTTTAGTGATTAGGATTCTTTTTTCCAATTTGAATTCAATGTTTTCCATTATATGATTCTGTTGAATTTGAAAAATGAATTTTTTTTCTCTTTCTTTTTCCATTTTTATTCTTATAATAATACATCTTACGATGGATTAATTCTTTTTTTATATCAAATAAGATGATGGTGGTGGGTGAATGAAAAAAACAAACAATACAACTGTAACTATGATGATGACGTATATTCAAATAAAGTAGTCGTATAAAATAAAATTGATGTGTTGACATGGTAATACACTAAGACACTACTACGATGAATTATTTTATAAATAGTAGATTCATATCAAAAACAGATGTAATGCCTGATTTATTTTTTTATCTATTTTTGTAACAAAAGTTCATTTTTGCGGTTCAAAGGGTGTATGTGTGAATGAATAGTATAATAGATTCATATCGTTTATAGTTTGCTAATAGGTTTTTTTTTTTTTTTGTATTCACTTTCAGATTCATAGAATGTATTTCCGTATTCATCGTGATTATGGTGTGTGTGTGTGTGTGTATGGAGATTGTCATTTTTTTGAATATCGTTTTTTTTCTTCTGAAAATCTACCAAATCCATTATTCCAATGATCCCATTAAAGTTCGGATGTTCCGTTTATCTATTGGTTTGGTGTGTGTGTGTGTTGTCTGTGTTCAGGTTTTTTTGAGCCGAAGAATAATGGATCATGCTGATCATTTTTTTTTTGAAATTCACCAAAGATTTTTTTGTTCCACTTTTTTTTTGGTTTTCCGCTGCAATGCATCAATGTGTGTTGTATCTTCAACGTCAATCAGAAAACACATTGTGAATAGATTGCTCTTTGAATAGTCAGTCTTTAAATTTAGCCTTTTTATATAAATTTAAAAAAAAACAAGAAAAATTCAAAGTTCAGCTAAAATCTATGATGATCAATTTTGACGACAAAGACGAATATTCAAATCCATCTCCGTTTTTTTTTCTCTCTATTTAGATTTTCAATGGATTATTTTTATTTCTGATTCGATCGATCAATTTGTTTTCAAACACTCACACACACACACACACAAACAAATATATCCGAACTTGAATTTCATTGATACTTTTTTTTCAAATATCAACAAACAACCGAAAAAAAACCAAACAATAATGATGGGAAAAAAACTTCAAATATCCTATACCACATATAAATGAGATTATGCTGATTCAGCTGTTTTATTTGATTTTTTTTCTCTTGAAAAAAAACAAACAAACAAGCACAGACACTTTTTTGATACGATTGACGGGATAGAATTATCCAGTAGATTCTTATGATGATGTTCTTTGAGACAATTGAAAAATGTTGTTTGTATATGTTGTGCTTGTCAATATTATTCGTGATCAAACCGATTCAATCCTGATCCATGATAAAAACTTTGAATAAATTGATTCGACCTATTTTTTTTCTATTTCTTCTTAAAATTCATAAGATTCATGATTTTTTTCCTACAAAATTTATTCAAATAGTATGCTAATTATTTTTCTTGCATTCAATTATTCCCAGTGATTAATTTCTTTTACATTTGGATTTTTTTTTTTTTTGGTGGAAAATCCTCGAAAAATAAGTTTATCATTTCATTTCATTTCACGTTTGTTTTTTTTTTTTTCTTACAGAAGCCATTTTAGAGATAAATGGAAAAATAAAATCATCAACAAAAGACTTGATCATCATCATCATCATCGTCGTTTTTCATTCAGTTTTTTATTCTAAATTTTGATGATGATGATGAAAAAAAAACTTTCTTTTTGTCTCGTTTCATTTCTGTTTGTATTTTTTCTCTTTCTCTATATTCATGAGATTCTCAGTTGATGAAACCATAAAAGTTTTGTTTTCCTATTCTTAGTGTGGTTTCTTCTTCATCTTCTATATATATTTTCCAGTTTGTGATGATGAAAAACTTTTTGTCCTTTTTTTGTATGTGTGTGTGTGTTTTTTTTATATACACACAATACCCGGCTACATTCCATAGGGAATTTTCTGTCGTTGGAATTTTTATACCATACGGTAATATATCTTGTTGATTTTTTTTGTTTTGATGACAATTTCAAGTGAATTCTGAACTTTTTTCTATTTGTTCTACTTTTTATTGATAAATTTTAAATTTTTCTTTCACTTTTCCATTTCGTTATTTTCGTCATATTCATGTGTGTGGATCATCATTACCATAGAAGAATAATATGTTTTAATCCAAATTCAAATTGGTTTTCAATTTCGGTGAACGAAAATTTATAAATCGTAAACAAGAACAAATTAAATGAATAGTATATTCTGAGTATTTTATTTCTCTTGTTCACCTTGATTTGAATGTAATCAACGAAAATTATTCTATCGATTTTCGATCTAATTAATTAATTAATTAATTCATAAGAATATACATATCAATGATCCATAATCATCATAGAATGTAATGTTAATGTTAATTAATTTTTGTTTGTTAAGAGATTTTTTTCACTCGTATTACATCAAAGTTGTTTTTGGATTGCAATTTTCTCGTTACGTTGTTGATGCAATAATGCAAATATTATTAGAACACAAACACACACGCACAGCGAGAAAAACATCATTTTTATATCATTCAATATGAATTTCGTTCATTATATATATGTTTGTGTGTGTGTGTATCATCATTTGGTATGTTTGTTATTATGATCATTTTTTGGCTTTCATTTTATTCTCTCAAGATAAATATTATGTGATAACATTGAACACATAAACACACACACATCATGTTCGTGTAAATGTCAAATCATCATGTTCATCTGGATCTAATAATGCTGTTGAATCATTATTAGTTTTTCTACTTGTGATATACAGAGAAATAGTAAAATACAAAAACGATTCATAAATTCATAAGGCTAGCTTTTTTTAGTGATTTTTTTTTTTTTTTTGGCTATAATAATGTTTGTTTTTTTGTTTTTGTTTTTTTTTTAGTATCGAAGTTTACGTTTTCAATCTTTCAGTGTATATGATGATGATGATGATGATGATCATTGCTGTCGATATCTCACCGGAAATCTCTGTTTCGAACAAGTTATTCTTGTATTATATTACTATTGTCATCAACATCATCATCATCATTATTTTTATTATTTTATTGTCGTTATTCGTTTGTTTTATTTTTATTTCTTGCTCATCAATTTTTTTTTACCATACGGATTTGCAAAAAAATTCAAAAAGAATATTATTGTTTGGTTGTAACAAACATAATCTGATATATCGAAAACAAAATTCTGTCTATTATGGCCAACCATTTTTGGTCTATCATTTGGTCTATCGTGTGTTGAGGTTTGATATGTTTTTTTTATGATTCCTTGAAATTGTTTCACATCAAACTTCTATAATAAATTATGGTGGGAAGAAAAAAAAATTAATTTAAATTTTTTTTCAATCGCTATTCAATCGATTTTTTTTTTTTGGTTCAAAAGAATTTTCTTTTGATTCTTTCGTTTTTAAATCGGTAATTTATTTTCATTACCTAGTCATTATTATCAATATAATCATGTGATAATAATGATTCATGTCGGAAATAATAGAAAAAAAATGTTATAACCATAAAGATTAATTAAAGTTTTTCATTGCTTTCTCTCTCTCTCTCATTCTCGAATGAAATTTGATTCAAAGAAAACTAAGGTTTCGACTCTTTTTTTCACTTTCACTCATTCTTTAACTTTTGGAACGTTTTTACGAAAAAAAAATTTATTACAACGACGATATGTATGAGTATCTAGTGTGTACACTAAAAAAATTTTTTTTTACCATTCAAATTTCATGTTTACTTTTTAGTATATAAAATTCCTTACGGAAAACTATAGTCAAATGGTCAACTTTTTTTTTAAATTTTTTTCTGTTTCTGTCTTTTTTCCTCCCCTCAGCAAACAAATCAAAAAATAATTCAAAAAAAATTCATATTCATCATATAAACAACGGTGAATAAACATGAAACACAAATTTCAACCTGAATCACAAAAAGTTTTTCATCCATATGACATTTTTTCCCTGTTTTTGTTGATGCATTTTTTTCACATGATCATCTTTTCCATATGGCCATGTTCCATACTATTTGTATAGGGATGAAAAAGATTCTGTACAATAATCATGATTATTGCCCCTTGATGCTATTTGTTTGCATTTTTCTTCTATTCAATGAATTCTGTGAATAAAATATCAATGGAAAAAAACATTGAATACAAATGGGACACAATTACATTACCCTAAGGCCCCTTTTTGTTGTTGTTGTTGCTTTGTATGCTTTTGTATATTAAGCTCCATTATTATTATTATTATTACTTAATACCGATATATATCGTTGGAATTTTTGAGATAATTTTTGTCCCAATTTTTCCGTTGTTGTTGTTCCTTCTATTGTGTAATGAATGATTAATTTAATGGAATTTTCGAGATTTCTATTTGAAATGGATCTAATGTTTAGATGTGTTTTTGTATGATGACAACAAATAGACAAAACAGCTATTATATATAATTGAATGGAAAAATTATTGAGAGATATAATAGTAGTATAAGTATATTCTAAACAAATTGGTTCAGGATATTCGTCGTTTGTGTGTTGTTTGTTTGCTTTGCGATTTTGAATGGATTCATGGGTTATGGAATTATATTTCTACAACAAAAAAAAAAAAAAAAAAAATGGTTGTTTGACACAGTTATTTTTTTTTTTTTTTATTCAATGTTCATTCTTGTTGATAATAATTTTGTATTGGTAATGGTTTTTTTTTGTTTATTTGCTTTGTCCATTTTCAAAAAATAATAATTCTTTTTATTCATTTTTTACCTGTACAATACGTATACGTTCACGATCAATAAATACAACGGCTGAACGATTTGTTAATTCAGAATAATTTGAACTAGAAAATATTGTCATTGTTTTACCACGATGATCAAAATGAAAACCTTCATGATAAACTTCATGCGCACGTATTATATATTCAATTTGATTACGTTGACAAAATCTATCTACAGCCCATTCAGTATATTGAAACGCTGTACCACGACGTGTATTCTGTACAAAACCACGTTCATAATTATCTTTTTCAAATTCAACAATTTTAGCCAATTCTCCACCTGATACCGGATCATTCCATCTAGAAGGTAGAAAAATAAAGAAATAAAAAAAATAAGATTATTGTAGACTTTTCACGAGAAATTTATTAGCTTCGTGGAATAATTAGACACACACACACACACACATTTGTAATGTTAAGGTAAACAGCAGCAGCAACAGTAGTATACTTTTCTTTTTCAAAAACAATAGAAAGATTTTACTTACAATATTTCCCATGTTTCAAATGATGAATAAAGTGGATTTTCTATCCGTTTTGGTACAGAACGAATTTGTTCCAATGTTGTTATTGTAATTGGTATACCACCATGTGCACAGAATAGACGACCATCAATTATAGCTGTAATTGGTAAACGATCCATTGCCCTATTGATCGAATCCCATAATTCTAATTCAAAACGTGTACAACATTCACCATAGAATGAGAATTGTTGTTGTATATCACGAATTTCATGATTACCCCTGAGGATAAGAAAATTTTGTGGTGCAAGTATTTTCATACAAAATAAATAAATGATACATTCAACCCCGTATTGTCCACGATCAACATAATCACCAAGAAATAAATAACGGCCTTGATTGATGAATGGTGTTGATTTCCATAATAATTGTGAATATAATAATAAATCTTTTAGATTACCATGTATATCGCCCATTATATAGCATGGTGATGAAATCTAAATCAATGGAATAGAAAAAAAAACTTATCATCAATAAAGATGTGAAAAAATAAGAAAAAATGAAATGATACAGGTATGATAGATTCCAAAACACGGAAAGAGGGAATAAAATAAAACGAAAAATTGAGTTCTGGCGTTGACATATTTACACAATATATATTGGGGTATAATATTTTTATAAAAAAAAATTCTTTTCTGAAATTTTTCCAGAAATGTTCAAAACATACGTTCAATAACCTTGGTTCAAGGGCAAATATTTCTTCTGCTTTTTGACAAATCATTTTCAAATTATTAATCATTTCAATTTTTTCTTTATAGAACCAATTTTCCAATAATGTTAATTGATCAACATTAACAATTTCATTATCATTGGATGAATCGAATAAAAATGAACCAATCTTTGTCAAACGATTAATAAGATCATTGGCCAATACATGTATTTCATTTTCTTGCATATCTTGACGAAATTGACGAGCAACATTCTGTGCATTTGCTGCTGTAGTTGTTGTGGTCATTACACCAACACCATTAATTGCCGATGGACTTATATTTTCAATATCTAAACGATTCACTTCAGTTACTTCACCAATTTCTGATAATGTATGAAAATAAGTGGATAGATAATATCTAGTTCGTTTACATGAATAACAACGTAATGTTGATTGTGTTGATGATTGTAATGCAATCCATTGTGATGTTGATGTCAATGGACGCCATAATGGTAATATTAAATCATCAATTTCAATATTAATACGTATGATTTTATCAAAATATTCTTCAACATTCATATTGTTGTCTAGACCAAATAATAATCGAAATAATTGTCCATTTTGAATGTGATGATAAAACTGTTTGAATGTTAATTCCATTGGAATCTGAGATTGTGAACGAAATCTTTCTTCAAGTTGTTGTCGATTTTGTGGCATCGATTCATTGTTGTCATTACTACTACTATTATTATTATTATTATTTGGATTTCCATTAATAATTTTTTCTCCTGAATATCTTGGTGGTAAGAAATTTTTTGTTTTTCGTTTATAATCAATAATCATTTTGTTCATATCATTTAGATCAAGAATTTTTGATGATGATGAATAATAATGGAACAATAAACGATATTTCAATTGTCGACATGGACAACAACATTCTTTCGATGATTGTGATGATGGACAACATGCAAATGGTCTTCCAACAATCAAAAGGCCAAGTAATAGATTATTAAAATTTAGATATGATAATTGTTGACGATCAAATGATCTGAAAAGAAAAAAAAATATTTAAAATATTTCTGTTTTCCCCCCTGTGAAACAACAATAACAATCAAATACCTAAAATATTGTACAATTCTTTCGTTTGTTAATGGTGTTGATAGAATTTTTTCCATAAATAATTTGAATGAAATTATTGTCATGTAACGTGATGGATAACATTGTAATAGGAATTCATTATATAATGAAATGATTTCTTCACGACGACCACTTATTATTGTATTATTCTTTTGCTTAATGAAAATTTCATTATTCGATTGATGATGATGATGATGATGATGACATTGAATCAATTTGATTGTACTAGGTTTGATTATTTGACCAAATTTGATTCTTTCATTATTTGTATGATGATGAATTGTTGTTGTATTATTGTTATCATTCAAATTTACATTGTTTGTCAATGGTGGTTTGGTTTCTCTTCATGATGAACATCATTCTCTTTTTGTCATCATCATCATCATCATCATCATCATTGAATAATTTAACTTCATTCCAGCCCAATGAATAATATTTTGATGGATCATCATCATCATCATCATCATCATTCTCATCATCTTCATCACTGTTCATTTGATCATCATTATCATTTTTACATTCAACATCATTATTTGGTGGTGTTGGTGTCGATGATGATGATGATGAAAATTTGCTTTTTTTGTACTTGTTTTTTCAATAAACCAAATTGTTGTTCAAGTATGTATTTAGGTTCAGGGCCCAATAAATTATTATTAATAATAGTAGTAGCAGTAGTAGTATTTGTACGAATATTCAATAATGAACTACTACCACCACCACCACCACCAATACCGGTGGTATTATTCATAGATTCTAATATTGTCATTGTTGATGATAATTTAGTACAGATATCATCATATGATAACCATTTTATAGTTGTTCGTTGAACCATTTGACAAATACATTTTTGTTGTTGTCCAGATGTTGTATTTGGTGATGTTGATGACATTTTATTTGTTTGATTATCAATAACCTTTGTTTTTCTTTTTCCTATTACATTTTTATTATTTTTACCACTATTACTTGAACGATTACCATTAGTAGTAGTAGAAAGACTAACATCGATACGATAGATGAAACGAAGTAGAAAATTTCTTACGGGTATTTGAATTCTTTCGGCTATTAATTGAAAATTGCAAAATTTGGCTGAATTCAACGGAATGGTGGTGGTGGTGGTGGTGGTGGTGGTGGTGAAACCAGAAAAAATAAAGAATAAATTATATTAGTGATTAAATGAAAATATACCAAAAGAATGAAAGAAAAAAAACTTTTTTTTGTTCAGTGTGTTTGTGTGATAAACTTTGAATTATTCAGGTTGAATGGCTACCGATTTTGTTTGTGTGTGTGTGTGTGTGTGTGAGTGGGATTTGTAAGAAAAAAATCAATCACAAAAAAAAATTCTTACCATGAACATCGCCAAATATACGATTAAGCATTTCACGGACCACCGAATTTACTGAATAGTTTGACATTCGACATGATAATGATGGAAAGAATAGACCTTTTTGTGGTATATCCAAAAGACCAATACGTTGATGTTCATTACATATTAATGCAATACAACAGATATCATCTAGATATGAATATTTATCTGATGGACGTTTCACTTTAATTGGTGTGATTATTCTTTGTGGTGGCGATTGTTGTTGTTGTTGTTGTCGTGGTGATAGTGGTGATGTTTTTCGTCGTTTTGTTGGTGATTTTGGTGGTGATCGAATTCGATTCGGTGATGATTCTCTAAAACGATATGGTGTACTACGAATATATTTTGGTGGTGGACTTATAAGCTTATTTTTTGAGCCATAATTTTCTTTTGATTCCATTTATTTTTATTATTATTATTATCAAAAATTTTTGTTTTTTTTTTGAAAATATACAGAAAAAACGCCCAAATTATAATTTTAAAAAATCAATCCAGATCATTACAATTCAATTCCGTTTTATTTTATAATGAAACGAAATTTTTTTCAATTAAATTAAATTAAAAATTTTGTTTCTGTTTTTTTTTCTATTTTAATTTATAGTTTATTTATTTATTATTACAAAAAGGCAGCAATTTGGTGACATTCTGGGATTAATTAATTAATTACATGCAATGCTAAGAATTTGGCATGGAAACGATACGCATTTTTCTTTCTAATGGCGGTAATGGTGCCGGCGGTAGTCGATTCATTTGTGATGATGATGATAATGATGATTTAATTACAATCCTATCCGGTACAATAAGACTTGATTGTCTTTGTTTATGATTCATTATTGTTGATTGTCTTCGTAATTGTTGTTGTTGTTGTTGTTGTTGTCGACGTTTAAGACAAAAACGTTCACGTAACCACATGATGAATAAGAATAGAATGAATAAAATGATTGTCGTTGAAAAGAAACCCAATATGTACATGATACCAAGAAATAATTCAGAATAATCAGTGTTTTCGATTCCGGCTATTGTAATAATAAAAACGAAAAAAAAACAAACAAATCAGTTTGTGGAATTTTAGTCATTATTATGATGAAAAATTAAAAACTTGAACCAAAAATCAAATCAATTTGAATGAATAAATTTTTAAAATGCAAAATTATTTATGGTATAACGTGTACAATTGGATCGGATGAGGAAAGAACTACTTTTGCCAAATCGACCGGTCGTACCCATTATATTTTGTTCGAGAAACCGATCGAATTATTTTGATGGATTGCTGTATGTCTCCTGTACAAGATGTTATGAAAGTTTATCACAGTTTAACACATCAACAACAACAACAACAACAACAACGACAAAAATGTTTATGATTGAAATGATGATTTTTGAATCAAGCAGATATCTCATTGGAAACTTGTAAACTTTGAATGAATCGAGCTGACCAAATATCCGTGTTATTCTGATTCTAGATTGTTGTTGTTGTTGTTGATTGGTTCTGGATCGTTTTTTTGGATTCTAGCTTAAAACACTACACACACACACACACACACACAAAAAAAAGTTGAAATAAACGTGACTTTGCCACATAATCTTATATATATGCTATGCTATGTGTGTTTCGATTCTAAATGAAAAAGAAAAAAAAAGATATTCCACCAGTTAATACACACATACCTCAGAAGAAAAATGATGATGTTATTCGGAATGGAATTTTTGTTTGTTTTGAAAAATAAAACATTTAACGTTTTTTTTTCTTGGATAGCAGCAGTATATGGTAGCAATGAATGTGTGAATTTTTCTTTTTTATCTTACACAAAAAATTCTCACCATCATTATGATAGCCATTCTTTATATATTGTTTTGGCTATTCTTAATTCTAATGTGCTTATTGTTTTGCTTATTCAATTCTGAATCTGAATTGTTTGTTTATTATTATTATTATTATCGTAATCAATTCCAATGACTATTTAGCTCAATAATCGACTGTCTAGTAATCGATATATTGAATTTGTATCGTTAATTGGATGAATCATCAAATATTTTGATTCCTGGGAATACGATTCATTTGATTCTCGTTATATTCTTGTATGAACGTAAATGATATGAAATTTCAGAATTATTTTTGTTTGTCTGTTGATAATTCTTACGAAAATTTTATTATATCAAATATTTCTAATATGCCAAGAGGTTATTGGATGAATTCTCGAGAAAATATCATCATCAAGTAACGTAGTCGTTGTAAGCATCGAACCGAATATTGGCTTGAAATTTTTCTTTTTAAAGGGAAAAAAATTTTTATTCCATTCCACGATATTCTTGATTTTATTATCACCATCAACATTGATGATGATGATGATGATGATTCAAATTGATGTGACTTTAAAACCTTTAAAAATAAAAGAGAAAATGATGAATATAAGATATGTGAATTCGAATCACGTTGTTTTTTTGTATTCTGGTGAAAAAAAAAATCTTCAAAGCAAGTCTTTGATTCTTTTCATTTTAATCAACTATGGAATTAGGATTCAAAAGAGAAAAATTCTCATAATTTGACAACGATTGATTGATCGATTGTTTACGAATGAATGAATAAATATAGGTATGGATAATGGAAAACTAAAACTAAATGTATGATCCATTTTTTGGTCATTCAATTTTATGTTTGAATGATTTATCGTGAATTTTCATATAATTTGATTAAAAAAAAATTCAAACATGTTGTTGTTGGCCCCATCGCTCAATGAGAATGAATGATTGTTTATCAGTAGAAATGTTCATGTTCAGTTCATTTTTCAGTAAATTTTTCTCGATGTTTCAGTTATTTTTTCGCATGTTGTTGGCATTTTTTTTTTTTTTTTTTGTTATGATTGATTGAACATATGTTTATGATATGAAAACATGGGAAAACAAAACGAAAAAAAATTTATTTTTAATTTGTTTGATAGAAAATTCATGATGGTACCCGTTATTAATGCATTTGATGGTTTCAATGTTTGATGATGTTTTTCTGTCTTCGAAGACGTCGAGATTCGAATGGATTCGCTTTTGATAGTAGTCCAGTAGCAATTAACATCATTATGGAATGATAAAAATCATCATCGGTAATGTAATATCGATAATGAATGGCTACTTTCAAATATTATTCAATTGGTGGTTTATTTGAATTTGTTCCAAGTTTCGTTCGAATGTCGATCTCAGATTTTTTGGTTCATCAAAATAGATACAAACGCCACCTTTGGCCAGAATGTAGAGTTTGTCGAATAGATTCAAAATATCCGTGCTTGGTATATGGTTAAATATTAATTTGTCCATCATTCAGTTTCCGAATGTATAAGTATTTTATTCAAAATAAATGAAAATGAGAATGATAAAACATTACAATGTGAAAATATGACCAAATGAACCAATGTTATTTACACTTGGATCTCCCACACCTGTAGGAGCTATAGACATGTGTGTATTTATTTACACGAATGATGAGAAACCTGGTAAAGGAGCTCGACTTCCGGCCATATTATTTACGATGATTCTGCCTCCATTCAAAACAGTGTTGCTGCCGCTAGAATTACTTGGGCCACCATTTGATTGTGATTGAGTAGACGTCACGGTATTGTCCACTTCAGCTTCTCCACTCAATGCAGATAGATAACTAGGTGGGGCTGGAGCTGGAGGCGGTGGTCGATTCGGAAAACCGACCCTATTGATTGATGATTGAGAGGACGACGATGCGGCCATGAATTTGGACAATGATGATTGCGGCTGGTGATTCGATGTTAGATTGTAGTTGGATCCATGCAGTGATGAAGACGATGATGCTGGAGGTGGTGGTGTTGGAACTTTAGAAGCTGCTGTCGATTGTATCATCGGTGGAGGGGGAGGTGGGGGGTAAGGTAACGGTTTGTAAGGAGAACGGCTAGATGTGGCTGCTGAAGCTGGATGTGGTGGGGGTGGATGTGAAGGGGGAGCTTTGCTCGATGTACTGGTGGTGTAAATGTTTTGATTACTGCTTGTTGGTACAATGTAAGGCTTGGCTTGTTTTTTCCAAGACAATCCTTTACGAAGAGTATCATTTACATTGGCGTAATGGTTTACAAACATATTGGCAGCCACTAGCTCATCATGGTCATCTGAATCTTCAGAATCTGGTCCAGTCGAGCTCAATTCGCTTGGTTTTTCGGTTAACGAATCATTTCCACTGCTCAGATCATAGAGACCAGCGGGCGGTTTTATATCTGAATCACCAACATAAAGGTCATCATCATTGTCGAGATCGTCTTCATCCGAGTAAGAAAACGAACCAGGACATGGCCTTGGAGGTTGTCTGGCTTGGGCGGAAATGGCGGCCGTGTTAAGCATGTTGTTGGCATGATTATCTTTGCCCTTGCCACGATTCGATCGTAGCGTTGATCGATTGCGATCATTTAGGTTAGAGTTACCGGCCATAGCGATTGGAACCAGCGTATCGCTATTAACGGCCATGTTTGGCATGATGAGACCAACCGTCGAACCTCCATTGACTATGCCACGCATTTCCATTTCGAGCGATTGTCCGGCCATCTGACTCAGTGGGTTGTCAAAATTGTCATCAAGGCCAAAACCAAGTTCACTTAGGCGATCTTGACTTCCAGTGTTTTGCATTGCTTCTTTCTTGTATTTGTATGTCTTGTTACGTACACAGAGTGCCGCAATTACCATGATGGTGATAATGACACTGAGACAGGCACAGAGAATCACAAACCATGTCTCTCGGTAGTATGGCATTCTAGCTCTTAATTCCAAATGCGATGGCGTCATTATAATGGACTGGCCACCATACAATTTGTTTGGATAGGCTGGTTCAGAAACACCAATATGATTGAACGACATGACTCGGAATTGATACTGGGAAGAAGGTGATAATTGTGTGAAGCTTAACTCGTAACGATCTTGGCGGCCATTGCGCAATGTAATAATCGGTTGCCACTCAAGAGACGATTTTTTGTTTAGATTTTTAGCCTCGATCAGATAACCTAAGATCGGCTCGCGAAAATCTGGATTTTTCCATTTGAGTCGGACTGATGTTAGCGTTTGCTGTGATATAACTTCGAAAGGTGGAGGTGGACTTTCAAATTGAGGGCCGGTTGTCACTGTAAAAAAAAATCCAATTAAAAGTGAAAATGATGAATTTGATTCATTACCATTTCCAATACGCTCAGGTCCAAGGCCTACGCTATTTTCAGCACGAACTTTAAACGTGTAAGTAACTCGTTCACGCAAAGCACTGACCATCAGGTAGGAATCGTTTATTTTTTGTTTGACTTGTTTGCTGAAATCACCAATCAATGTCTCATATGTGATGTAATAGCCGAGCAAAAGACCGTTTGGTTCTGCCGGTGGACGCCATGATACTTTCACCTGTGACATGGTGATCTCATCGAACTCAATAGGACCAATTTCACCAGGTAAATCCTCTAGTGTTTGCACGATCGTTGGCTTGGATCTAGGGCCATCACCAGCTGGATTGAATGCCGAAATTTGTATTGAGTAGTTGGTCCATTTGTACAAGTCAAGTAGAATAAACGAAGAAAGTGTGTCAGGTACAATCTCCATCATCTCGCGTGGCAACGATTTTGTATGTTGATTCGAGTCAATCACAGAATTCGATCTATTAAGCATATGAACCCAGTAGAATATCTTGTAGCCCATTATCTGGCCATTCTGTTTGGATTGATCTGGGGGTTTCCATGTGACCTTAATTTCGGTTGAACTAAGCGGTTCGGCACAAATATCCAATGGTTCACCGGTAGGTACAGCTAACGAAAGTGAAAAGGCTTTAGTGATCTACATAAAATTGATCATGAAAACACTTACCTTCACCAACGTAAACAACTTTGGGCTTGGTAGAAGGACCATCACCTTGTCCATTGAAAGCGATGACACGTATTTCGTAATGCTGATCTCTTTCAAGATTGTCGATAGTGGCTTGAGTGCGATTCTTGCCACGAACTAGTGATGAAGGACATGAACCACCCACTCCTTGCTCGGTTATTAGACAGTACTGGACACGATAGCCAGCGCCCATTTCATCACCATTCCAATCCTGTACAGACATCCAACGAACCGATATCGATGTAGGTGTGAACGGTGATACGGTCACTGATTCTGGAACTGTGTCTGGTGGAGCTGGTAATGTTCGAGTTATGGGTGATTCAGAAGACCAACCGGAATCACCGATATCGTTGGTAGCTTTCAAACGAAACTGATATGTTGTGAATGGTCGAAGATTGGTCAGTTTGTACGATCGAATGGTTGGATCTATTTTGTGCGGATATGTCCACCAGTGACCACCCTGGCTAGAAATTTGCACAGTGTAGTATCGGAGTGGAGCGTAGCCATCACGACCAGGGGTCCAGCTGATGGTTACTTGTCGCGAACTTATCTGCGATACACTGATAAGCGGCTGTGATGGTGGTGATGGAAGTTCACGAGTGTTGGTCGTGTAAACCAGTGCTTTAGCTGCTTGACCCCAGCCTTCAATCGTTTTAGCAGTAACCTCGAACATGTAGTATGTTTCAGGACGAAGGTCTAAAAATCGATAGGTCCGGTCAGTTGATTGGAACTCGCGTGTGATAGGTGATTGGTGATAGTACTGATCATCGCTAAGACGATAGGCAATCTTGTAGGCTAAAATTTCACCGTTAGGCTCTTCAGGTATATCCCATTTGATACGAGCTGTGGTGAGCGTAACATCTGGAAAAGTCACATTTGACGGTGGTCCAGGTACGTCCTGGAATGTTTCGGCCATGACTGGCATTGAATAAACACCATCGCCAACGTGAGTAAAAGCACACACACTGATCTGATAACGAGTGTACTTTTTCAATTCGGTTAGTGTAGCCGTACGTGATGAATTGCTTTCGATCAATTTGAATTGAGCAACATTACCATTCTTGAGTATTGCGTATCGAACTTTGAAGCCTTGGATAATACCATTACGATCGTACTCGGCCACATCATCCCAGTCGACTACGATGGTCGTCGATGAAGTGGATCTTACCTGGACAGAATGAGGCCCAGAGCTTGGAGTTGCTTCGTTGGTTCGTTGTATGTAATAGTGGCTGCCATGTGATGTACCAAGATCGTTGAGTGTAAACACCTGTATTCCATAGTTAGTGTATTCTTTCAACGAGGTGATAAGGTAAGAATGTGAATGATAATCAGAAAGAATGTGCCATTTCAAAGGCTCATTTGTTATTGGCGATCCATCGTTTGTTAGTTGACGCCAGGTGATGTTGTATCCACGTGGATGGCCATGCCATGATTCAGGCGGAAGTGGTGTCCATCGAACTCGCAAAGCGGTAGCCGATACTGTACGTACGGTAACGTTTGATGGTGGACCCTGTGGTAATGCTTGCAACGTTTGAAATGGAGGTGAAGGAGCAGATGGTTTGAGTGCTGGGCCCACTACATTTACAGGAATGAGACGAAGTCGATATTCGACGTACGGACGAAGATTGTGCACAGTGATGGCATCTTCCTGTGTATGATTAATCGATTCATAAATGACTGACCAGTTTTCAGCATTACGTAATTTATAGAGTTGACTTTCAACGATCCACTTGGTGATAGATGCATTGCCATTAAATCCAGGTGTGAATTGCAAGACGACAGAAAAAGGCTGTATGTTTGATATGGCCAGATGAGTAGGAGCGATTGGAAGAACAGGTGGGACTGAACTCTGAATTGTCGAACTAATAATAGGTCCAGCTCCAACATCCGTCCATGCATTTATCTGGAATGTGTAGGCGGTTTGAGGAATAAGATTCATGATGATGGTCTGATTTTCTGTGGCAGTCAGATTCTTAACTATAGCGGTGGTTCGTTCATGGCCGACAGAATAATAGCGAAGTGTATAACCTTTCAATTTGCCATTAACTTTTTCGGCCGAGACCATATGACACGAACACTCTTGTCGAGGATATCACGGAATTTAAGAAAAGCTACTTCCTGAGGCAAATCTTGTTCGGTGGTAACAACAGGAGGTGGTTCAAATTTTGGTCCATCGCCAGCACTAGTAAAGCAAAGAACAGTTACGTCGTACGTAGTATATGGTTCTAGTCCGTCCATGATGGCAATTTGTTGACCATCCTGATGAAATGGTGAGGGTGGTACGGTGATTTCGCGAGCCAACTGTTCTGAAAACAGTCCGACACTCGGATATGGATGTGTGTTAGATTCTAGCGATGGATAATCTTCGGTGGGATTGGCTGAATTTACATTGGTGGCCGTGGAATTCTTTGAAATCCAAGCCTGAACTTTATAACCTTGGTTAATGCCGTTGATGAGCTGTGGATCGGGTGAAAACCATTGAACACGTATGGCAGTAGAATTAATGGCTTCGGCCAGTAACGCTCTGACTTGTGCGGCCGGTCGACCTTCTTTGGTTCGAACGTAAATGCTGGAACTATAAATACCTATACCCATTTCGTTGTATGCGGCTACCTGAATCTGATAATTCTGCCATACGATCAAATCTTCAAGCAAGCAGGACATTTGAGCAGCATTGGTCACATTGTACGTGTACCAAGGGGTGTGTTCGGCATAGCCAGCCAGTTTGTAACGAACAATGTAGCCCAACAGGTGGCCATTATGTGATTCTGGAGGTGGCTGCTGCCATTGGATTGTGATGGCTGTCGATGAACGAGGAGCACCTACCACACCTACTGGACTGGAATTTGGCGGTTGTGCAGGCAATGTAATCGGTGGATTAGACGAAGCACTGGGCTGACCTTCACCCACAGAATTTACGGCCGATACACGGAATTGATAGGTAGTTGCAGGACGAAGATTGGTGATGAGTACAAAATTCTGTGTGGATGAGATGTTCATTGAAGCTGTTGTCCATGTGTTGACACCATAAACTAGTTCGTCGTCATTAGATGGTTGCTTTGAAGCTGTTCCTGCTGTAACCCGAGTCGAATCAGAATCTGCATGATTAATAGGGTTGTTAGCGATCGTTCGCATCTGAACTACATATTTAGTGATGGGTGAATTTCCATCAAACGGAGGCGTCCATGATACGTTTACGAGACCACCGTTGACGTTGAGTGTGGCTACAACATTGGTTGGTGGGTGTGGCAATTCTATAACGTCAAGTCGAGCAGAGCGCTTGTCATTACCGCCAATAGATTCCACACGACATGTATAAAGACCAACGTCAGTGTTTCGCACCTGTTCGATATGCAATGTGTTGTCGGCCGTTATTTTGATTCGTGAAGAGGTGATGGCCGTCAGGTTTCGTTTTTGAAAAGTCCAGTAAACTTTGACCGGAATTGTCGGATCGTGACGTACACGACATTGAAGTTCAGCAGTCGAACTAAGAATGACTTTACTGTCTACCGGTGGCTGGTCAATCTGTGTACGTATGATGACGGACAAACGTGTCGTTCCGTTGATTACACCTATATTGTTTTGTCTAACGCAGGTGTACATGCCCTCGTCCGATTTCTCTACTTGAGTGATAATCAAAGCTCCATGGGCATTGCTGTCGTATTTTCGTTTTGAATCCAAATCAAGACGACGTTTTGGTTGGCCGGTAGTTTGATACCACCACTCGACAGTAGGAAATGGAGATCCAGTAGCTTCACATTGGATTTCTGCATCACGTCCGTCTTGTATAGTTAACGTTTCTGGTGGTCCACCGTTAGTGAATGTGGGAGGTTCGTGTTGTTGAATTGAGGTTGGAGCAGAATTCGAATATGTTCTGGCAGGATAGTCCTCGTATTCGGTAATATGACCAGGAGCGAATGGCATCGTGGTAAATGTGTCTACCGTTGGTTCACTCCATCTGTCTATGCTTTGCGTTTGTACCGAGATGTTATATGTTTTGCCTGCCGTCAACCCATGAAAAGCAACCGAAGGTCGATGTCCAAGTTCCGGACGTTCGATAATTCTTATGGATTCATAAGCATCGTCTGGAGAAATCGTGACACGGTAATGATCAAAGATAGATTCAGCTGGATTGGCAAGTTTGACAAGCAATGTCGTCTCATTACGGAACCAGATTTTGGGTTCAGGTAAAGAAGCTGGGTTGGTGGTGAAATTGGCTTCCAGATATTGGCGAGATTCTTCATTTCGGTAGACAGTATGCAGGCGAACTTGGTATGAAGCTCCTGGTGTCAAATCACGTATTGGAACCGGTGTAGCATCGTGCAAGCCAACGACAATTGTCCGTATTCCACTATCATCTTGGATAGACAATGGTTCTATAGTTATTTTGAATGAATGAAAACGGCCTTCCAATGGGGGATTCCAATCAAGTAATACTAATTTGCCACTTTGCACTTGAACCGATAGATCACGAGGTGGATGAATAGCTACAGGAATGAATAATAAGTATGTTAGTAAATAGTCATTTTATCAATAAACAAATGTATTTCAGAAAGGCCAGCATTGTCCATTTGGAACAGATTTGTTTTCAATAAATTTTGTCTATCTGCTTAATAGATCATTGTTCTCACAAATGATATCTTTTCTTCACTGATAATGAGTAAAATCTGTTATCTGTTGGCCTTTTTCCAATTGGATAATGATTGGTCTGAATGATGATAACGGGCGCCTACCTGAGTGGACAATCGTGATGATATGCAGCAGTAACATTAGTATTGTGGGGATGACAAAAGGTGGCCATTGATGTAGATTTGATATCGTAAACCGTCTTCGAATATGTGTCCGATGATCAAGCAAATGTGGTCGTATAGTGGAACGATTGTAATGTTTATCACGTGGTTGATTTTGGATGCAATCATCGATATCTTCATGATTATTGTCGATCACAATGAGCTCCATAGCTTGATGGTGATATGTTTATTCAGAAATTTAATCAAATCAAACTTGAAATGCCATTATAATTCTGTGTAGAGAAATTGAAAAATGAGAATCATTTGTCAGTTATATACAATTATTATGGAACAAAAAACAAATGGAGTCAATGATCCATTCACAACATTCTGGTGTCTTGTTGCAGACTAATGTGTCTGCACGTGTATGTGTGTGTGTGTGTGTGTGCATGAAAAGGACCGTTCCAGTATGGGTTGATGAAACCAGCTGCAATGCAATCCAAACGGTCATATTGCCGACGGGTGTGCCTGCCTGGCTGCAATAGCAATCGATTCGAATAGAATAAATGGATTCATTTTATGGAACGAATACCATGTGTTTATTGATTGGTGTGTGTGATATTATGGAAAACGATCTAGTCGATGATTGAATTGAATGGATAATTGAACTTAATGCTTACCTGATTTTAGATTGTTGATGATGGTTGAATTCAAAAATTACAAAAATTAATACAAACACACACACACACGTACGCAATATTGATAGTAATGGAATGGTAATGATATTTGAAACTTGACAATCACTATGAATGGATGATGTTTTGAGTAAGCACAATCAAGAAGCCATACGAATGGAGAATGTAGCCATCACAACAGGTAGCGTGAGAACCAATATAAACATCAGGTAAACAGGTAATGACCACAATCCATTTAAAATTGTGATGATCAATACGAATATCAAATGTCAACTTTTCGATGCTTCTTCGACTTTGAATTAATTGGATGTTATATACTTGTATTTGTTTGTGCCAAGCAAGCTAAACTCATTTTGAATCGACGTATGTAATGAGCTCGCTTGACGAGTATATATTATGACTAGCACGAATGTTCAGCTAGTTGGCCAATTGCATACACACACACACTCAACACAAACGAGAAGGGAAGAATGAGAATGGTGGATTCAAGACAATTAAGTTTTAGTAGTGGTCCATCATCATCATCATCATCATCACACACACACACACACACACATACGAACATTTCGTGGTCAACGCAACAAGTGTGTGTGTTATATTCTACACAGCCTTGGCTTACAAACTTTGACGACCTTTGAACCTGGTTCTATGCCAATGTTTTTTTACTCCCTCCTCTCGTCTTATACAGGTGTATAAGACGGCGACATTGCCATAATGATTGCAAGGATTAATAGTTGATGATTCATCGTACAGATACAATTGACATATGAACATTGTTAAATCTATACAACATAAAAGATGGACAATGAAACATGAGTTGGTCGTGACTGTTTTTCTAACCAAATGATATTAATTAATGATTTATTGGTATTGGTATTGAATATCATGAATAAATTCTTTGCAAATAATTTTCGAATTCAATATTATTATTTTATAATTAAATAATCAAATAAACAAAACAAACCTTTTATCAATTTTTTTTTTTTGTTCCAAATGGAAAAATGTATATTACATATGCGCCAAGCAGACTGCATTGAAATAATCGACCATTTTTTATCACCAGATGGCAATAGTTATGTTTGTATGTTTAAGTTTAAATTTTTCCATCACTAGAGGGAGTTAAAAATTTTAGATTTAGCGGCGGGAGGATTGACCAATCTTATGAAGAAACTAAACAATGCTACTACCACAAATGAATCATACTATACCTATACGTTTGCTAGAAGTTGAGCATTGTGTTTGTGATTTGTGTTTGAGTGGCCAGCGATTGAGTCAGTGTTACATTTGTGCATTGTTATTGCTTGTTTGTTTATCTCTTCACTTTATTTTTGCATCCGTTTATCCCTTGACCGAATAACCGTCGTTACATCGAACGAAATTGAAATCACATTTCATCATTTCAGAATTTTTTTTTTTTGCTGACATCAAGTATTAAACTTGTTTTCATCTAAATTACTTTTCAAACATCTTTAGACATTAATTTTGGTCATCATCATTTCTTAATCATTTAATTAGAAGGTATGTATTTTTATTGATCAATGTAAATGAATAATTTGGTGCCAAGATCCATCTTCATCTTCATTAAAATTACACCTAAACTCATTCACGCCATCAATATTTTTCCATGTTTGTAGTCATTGTTTTTTGACATTAGTGATTGAAAGAAGATTATTTCATTTGTTTTAGTGCGTTATCATGTCAAATTTCTTATTGCATCATCGAGATTATATAGAAGACAAGAATCCTCTGTCCTTAGAAAGTTCGTCATGTCAAGTAAATAAATAAATCAAATTCTTTAAGTTTTCTACAAGCTTTATTGAAAATTTTAATCGGTCAACACAGAAAACTCTCTGTCACCCCAATGAATTTCGCAATAATAACGCAAGGCGGCGGCCATCTTGGTAATTCGAACAAGCAAGCAAGCAATCGACAAGATGTGCTCGTTATGTCGGTTAGATTTTTTTTTCTTGTAACCATCATGTTGATGATGATGCCACCTGGTGTGTGACAAAGAGAACGAACAAGAATGAGAGAGTAGGAGGTGGTGATGATGATCATGGATTTCCTGTACCACCACTACCCACTGTGGTAATGTAGTCAGACAGGCTGGAATGTGTTGCCATCGATCCATTCTCACTTTTTTTTTACCAGGTACTAGCCTGCCATAGTATATATAGAAAAATTTGGTGCCCGATCCAATCGTTATTAATAAGCATATTATACACATTAAAATACATAAGCGACATAGAGATAGAGATTCTTGTTCGGATTTGAAATGATATGCCACTACTCTGTTTTCTGTTGTTGATTGGTAGGCATTTGCCCCTAGATCCAATCAAATTGACCTGAGACTTTTGACCACATAGAGATCTCAATCTGTTTATAGGGGATGGATACATTTTTCCGATTAGATTCTTGTCATCTACTAGTCCCGTTTCATTGGCATCTGACTTTTGCTCTTTATGCCCATCATCATATGTCTCATGTAGTTGTTGTTGTCGCTCATAGCAATGATCAATGCTACTAGCTTTTTAGTTCTCGAACTTGATGCTTTTGTGAGAGAGTGGACTGAATGATTGCTAGCGAGCACACATAACCTCATTGTTTATTGTGTTTTATTATTATTGTTATGTTATTATTACTGTTGGCGTGTCGCTCTCGATCTTTGAACCCTAAGAATCGCCTTTTTGACCACCGAATTGACCTAATCGCCTAGTATTAATTATTTCTAAGATAAAGGTGAGATGCCGCGAAAATTTTTATTGATAAATAATTGAATTCAGTGATAGTGACTAAAGATGGCGTCGTATGATTAGGCGCCATTGTTGATTTGATTGTTATGAATGTTACTCTGGCTCCAAATGTGGTTTTTTATTTTCGTTTTTGTTTTTTTTTATACTCATACTAATTTTTTTTCTTTTTATTTTCCAGAAGTTAAAATATGGCTCGTACTAAACAAACTGCTCGTAAATCGACTGGTGGTAAGGCACCACGTAAGCAATTGGCTACTAAAGCTGCCCGAAAATCAGCACCGTCGACCGGAGGTGTGAAGAAACCCCATCGTTATCGTCCTGGAACGGTCGCTTTGCGTGAAATCCGTCGATACCAAAAATCTACCGAGTTGCTCATCCGCAAACTCCCATTCCAACGTTTGGTTCGTGAGATCGCCCAGGATTTCAAAACCGATTTGCGTTTTCAGAGTGCAGCCATTGGGGCATTGCAAGTACGTAGTAAAACCATGGCCTCGTCGTTGGCCATTCGTCTAGAATGGATGTTGTTAATTATTATTCTAATCGCTCGCATTCGTCTTTATAGGAAGCTTCTGAAGCTTATTTGGTCGGTTTGTTCGAAGACACCAACTTGTGCGCCATCCATGCCAAGCGTGTGACGATTATGCCAAAGGATATTCAATTGGCCCGTCGAATCCGTGGTGAACGTGCTTAGGAGGGTGGACAAAGAGGAGGACTAGGTCTAGTTAACACACCATATAATTACATATACTGCTATAATAATCATTTATTATCATAATGACATATATATTTACACAAGATTACATCACACACATCCTAGCTCTTCATTCTGTTCGACTTAACTAAATTGTTTCATGTCGGATTAGCAGGCCATTAATGGTTTTGTAATCCAAAGTAACCATTGTCGTTCATTGTGTTTTGTTATTACACTCATACCATAATGTCACACCATACACATGCGAATACAGATAATAAGCATTTTTTTATTCACTACCCCATTGATAACCACTAAGTTCTCATACCGATCGATGTACGACCTGCAATGTATGGCCGACAGAAAGTTAGAAAAATGATTGATTGTCGTCATCGATTAAAAAATAACCATTTATTCACGAAAAATCTTTGTTTTTTATAAATGATGATGATTCGTCCTCGTTAGGAGGCTTTTTCTTTCGATGTTTTGTTCTCTTTCGTTTCCGGTGGTGGTGATGATGATGATGTATATTATGGTGAGTATTGGTTGTCGTCATGGACATGATTGTTGTTCCGTCCAAGTCAGATGGCACTCGATAGGCCAGGTATGGAGGTGGATGATTGCCTAAACCGTCAATTGAGTCGAATTTGCTAAAAGCTGCCAAATGGTAGAGAAGATATTCAATAAAGTACATGGTGACCGAGGAAAATCCAGTGAAAGTGATAGCATGATCACTACAACATCTAAATCCGCTGTTCACAGGTAACAAGTTCGACATCCAAAATGTGTCGAACACGGATATAAGTTGTGGGTTGAGATGTTTTTCCGGCATGAAGGGATGAAATCGAGTTCCGCTGGATTGGTCGTAAGAATTTTCCGGGCGTACAGAATGGCTGGCAAAAAACATGCCAATGTAAGAATCAAACTGTCCTCCATATACAAGGCCATTGGTTGGTAAATTAATACAAGTGGTATGATTTCCCATGAACAGTGTGTTTGCTAGTAGATCGACTGATCCACGACTAAGTACGATTCCCGAATCGAAAGAATTATAAACACCCAAAAAGTAATGTTGGACTGGTCGACCAATGTAGAATCTTTCACGTGGATCCAACGGTGTAACAAGGTATCTTAGATTCTCTACAATGGCGTACGTTTGATCGGTGGTAATTAACAGCCAATCATAGTCATGTTTGACTCGAGCCATTAAATCGATGAACGCCAAACAAAACGTACGAGGTGATAGCAATGAATCGTCCAGGAATTTAATTTTGACGTAAGGTGCTTGTTTCTCGTGAAATCCACCATAAAAATGACGTTCGTTGCAATGTCGAGTCCAGGTGTGATTTACAGCTCGAATTCGACTGCGTGTGGTAGCCAACACCAAACAAAGAATTCTGGTTCGATTTGCCAACCATTCTGATTCCAGCTTCAGCGATGAACGGTTTTTCCCATAACTAACCAGTTCATTCGGAATAGGCACAGATTCGAGTGACAATGATGCAAGCCATTTATTGTAGCTCATTGAATTCTGTTGCAAATGATCATCCAATTTTGATCGCCAATTACCGTTGCCTACTTCGAAATGATTCACCATAGACAATGGAGAATGCATCGAAGTGATTCGCATAACTGTTTGTTCATAATTGCACCAAACGATAGCAAAAAGTATACCCGATATGACTGAGCAAAGTATGAGAAACAATTTCCATATTCGCATCGCCAATATCGAATAACTATTCGCTTTTCGGCCTACGAACATGGCCATCGACCACTTGTTGATGCCAGAATTGATATCTTATATTTTTTTCATATACCTTATGTGGAAACAAACAAATAGTGATAATTACGTTGCTTACACATTTTGTTTCAATCTTACCAATTCCGGCCAAATGCAAATCAAATTACTGGTAGAAAAAAATATTTTGGCCACAACAACACTTGATGACCTGACAAAGATGGTCTTTGTGTAATACTAAAGAATACTCATTCATAGATGGCGCTTTAGAACAAATTCACAAAGTTGATTTTTTTTTGATCATAAATCGAATGATGATGATGTTTGTTTCGACGGTGCGACATTTGTATGTTTTATTCATTAATTAATTAATTAATTCATGTTGTAATTTGTCAAGTCATGATGATGATGAATTTATTTTCTTAATAAATAAAATGAAATTTGAATAATAAAAAATATATTTTATTTACCAAGTAAGTCATAAAAGTTTTTAGTTTAACAATTCTAGATTTTTTTATTTTTTTTTTTTTTTTTTGAATCAAGTAATTTATTATAAAAATAATACTTGTCCACTACTTTCAACCATTCAATTCAATAGTTGGATGCAATGATGCGATTAAAATGTGGTTTATTTTTAGATTAACTTTCAAAACAACAATAACAATAGCAACAGATTTTGATGATTCGAATGCACAGTGAATGAAAATGAACGAAATGAAATGAAATGAAATGAATGAGGCTTTATTTCTTCAATAACAATACAATAATAATGAGATGGATAGATTCACGTACGATCAAATGGTTTTGGGCACACCTATTATTTGTGCCTTTATCATTGTCGTCGTTGATGAGAATTGTGAGTTTAATCCAACCAAAACTGACTTCATTGGTGTTATCAGTTTCAGTGGACGAAAAAAAATTGACTCGAATTTGAGGCCCAATCATAGATGATCAGCATCAAGTCAGATGTGTGTGTGTGTGTGTGTGCGTATGTGATGATGATGCTATGATCCAAAGATATAACATGACTGGACTGGATTAAGTGATATTACTTTACTTGTTGTACGGACCATCAGTTCATTAGGCACGGGATTTGTAAGCGTTGATGGTGCTCATTCCACTAGATCGACTACTACCACCTTCTAGAATTCGAATCGAGGATCCACCTGTCGATTGTGAAACAGGTGAGCTTTTGGTTCCGCCCGTTGAAGCTCCATTAGATGAAGCGGCTGCTTGTGCGAATGAAACGCCCGATAAAGCATCGTTGAAGTAAGATACGGCACCTGATGACGGACCGGATGAGCTGCCTGATAATTTACTTGACGAAGATGAAGCTCGTGTTATCGAACTGGTTGGTTGGTTCGAAGCAGCAGCAGCGTATTGGCCACTCAAACCACCACCCCCTTTGATACCACTGCCTAAACCAGAAGAAAATCCAGAACCACTGCTACCGCCCAAACCAGCACCAAAGTCAGCTGCTTGCAAATTTCCACGTGGTTCACCTTTGGCGATAATCGTTTGGATTTCTTCTTGGACAGGTTTGATTTCCTGAATAACTCGACGGTATGGTGTGATGATTTCTCGAACTTCCTGTTTTTGTTAAAAAAAATTATCATCATTATAGATATTTCGCTTAGTGTATGGATAACGATGGCCGGTTTACATTCTTAAAGTATACTTGCAGAGTGCAAAACACGCGCCAAACTTTAAATTGTTAATAAATTTTTTAAAATTATTTTTACCTGTATAACTGGCTTTGTAACTTCGTGTACCAATCTATGAGGCTCATCTTCCGATGTGGTATGTTGAGCTTCACCTGCCGAACCTGGCTGATGTGTTTGCACGACATTCAAAGCACTGGAGGCTGATTTGAAATGGATGGTAAGCGGTAAATTACCAGCTTCTACTTCAACGATCTGGGGCTGAGGCAATTCCATCGGCACATTAACATGACGGATCTCAACCGTATGTGAAGATTGTACAGCTGCTGTAACAGGACCTCCACCGAAACCGGCAACTGGCTGAACGACACCGCCAGCAGATCCACCGCCATAAGATCCACCACCACCACCACCAAGAAGACCACTGCCATAACTACTTCCACCACTCCCACCGTATCCACCGGCTGCATAACAAGTGCTGGTCAACAATAAGCAAGCTGATAATATTAACTACGTGAATAGGATAAACAGATTAACACTTTGAAAATCACCTGGGATTATAGTAAACACCTTATTATGGTTACCTGAATCATTGTGAAGGAGTTATTTGATGCGGGAATCAGTGTTGGTCGATTATTCAAAAAATATGAACGAAACGAGTTGTTTGAATGACAAGCTGATGTCTGAAATAATCACGATCGACTATGGCTATTTATACGATTGATGCAACCCGACAACACAACGGTCCAGTTCTCTCAGCAGTTATCCAATTAATGTCAGTCCCACTTTCTCTATACCCGGCTATTTCGGGCACAACTTTCCCGATCCATATCGGACAGGTTTTCTTCTCATTCATTGTTGTCCATTAAAATGGAATGACTAGCCATGCAAGTGAATGTGAACGAAACCCCATCGTCAGATTAGTGCCAATAGCCGGATGGATTCATTACAATTAATTATTAAATACGTACTTGTTATCACATTAATTATCGACATTTTGTTTACATCACATTAATCGAATGTTTCCTGTATTATATCTTGTTTAGTTTGGTCATCTTTTTGATTAACTATTTTATAGTTGATCAAGACGTGAATCATGAATACACAAATACAGATTCAATGTTATCGCTTGATTTTCGTTGAGACCCTTGTATTTTATGAAAAGGTTCCGTGTATCATCATCATCATCATCATCATTAAAAATGAGACAACCATCTAGGAACCAAGAAAAAGGAAGATAGTACTATAAGCAATAAATGTAAGTCCACTTATCATAGCCATCACACATTACATTAAAGATTTCTTCCACTGATAGATTTGTAGCATAACGAGGAAATGTTTGAATCACCATCAGTTATAATTGGATCGAATGCCTGAAGCCATGTTATTTGGATCGAATGTCATAGCTGATCGAAAATAACCACAATCAATCGGTTTAATCCGTTGATGGTCATTGGTCGTTGTTATGCCAAGGCAAATCCTTATGTTCGGATCTATGAATACTGTTGGCCAAGCTATGTGTTGCAATTTATGGCTCATAATGCAAATAAGATTTTATTGTTCATAATTGGCCGGATTAAATGGATGGATAATCAGTGCAAGCAAGCTATACTCTATATTATCGACCAAAAAAAACAACAACATTAGCCAATAAGATTGCAAATGTTTCAGCCACTAATTGGCATTCATCAAATCAAGCAGTCGGGCTAGTTTTGATGCCTTCCTGGTTCCGTGGCGTGTCATCATTGTATGTGTTTACGTGTAAATCTAATACCCGTCATCATAAATGATGATGATGAGGAAAGCTGTCGTGTTTGAATTTTTTGTTTCTTTTTTTTTTGTTCATTTGAAAATCCACCACTCGTTTTGTGGCTTTTCCATTAGCATGGCCACCATCGATTCTTTTTACCTTAATCCTATGTTCATTCGCAATCGACACTTGGCCATTTGCAATGCTGATTTGATTATAAATAGCCTTCCTGTTATTTCTTTTACAAACGTCATGATCCATGGATTATCAACAAAAATAATAAAAAAAAAAAATAACTAAACGGAATTGTATATTAAACACGTTTAAAATTTTCAAAAAGCAAAAAGTGTTTTATTATCTCTTTATGATTATCATTAAATCAATAGTCATAGGAATGGAAAAGATATTGATCCACATGTTCGATAATGGCTGTATTAGAATGGCAAACTATTTGGATTAGATAAAGAAAATAAATGGCCAGTAATTCGTACAGTCCAGTAGCTATAATGGTTATCCATAATAAATATTTCGGTTTGATCGTTGAATTCATGGCCATTGCTCGTAATGTATAGCAATCGTTGAGCGATGAAACAGAAGACCATGGCGATGATGACGACATAATTGAGTTTATTTGGCCCAAAATTGTCCATAAAATCAGCATATTTTGTATTGGTGAAGACATGTTTGAAGTAAAATTAATACTGAAACTTTCATGCGATCAAGACAGGCTTTATATGTCAACAAGTCAACAAACAAGCAACTGCTGGTCATTATCAACCGATACCTAGTGATAAGACAGACCTTGCATAGTAGGTAGTGGTCATCTGTGTGTTATTATGTTTGTGTGTATCAACCAATTATACCGTATAAAAAATTAAAATCGCATATGTCATATGTAGGTGGTTACCATATGAGTTATCATTTCCTTGAAACATTACCTCGAAAACGATCTATCCATCGATCTATTAATCTAATGAATGTTTGTTCGGAACAGTCATAGAGCACGATACAATAGTCATACTAGTTCAGTAATGATGATCGTGGCTGGTATTTATAACCGACAAACGCACGCTTCAAGCACAGAAATATTTTGTATATACAGTAAATGTATGTGAATCTTGGGTTATTTTGAGCACATCTCATGGATCAGTCATAAGATGTGAACTCTTTGTTTGATATATCGTATATTTGGATATCGTAATGTCGATCGAAGGGGATTGAGTTTGAAAGTAACAATGAAGATAAATGCCCAACGGATATGGAATGACAAGTCCAAAATAAACCACTCAATCAATCAATCAATCAGTTAGTTAGTTAGTTATCTTGTCATTCGAACGGACAATCACTGTTTGATCTCTTGATTATTGATCCATTATCGGTGATGTTATTCTCCACCCATTCATGACTGATTTATACTTGTTTTATAGCTCGTTTCATATCTCTTGCATTATATTTCATTACAATTCCTTAAAAACTGATTGTAGCATCATCTATGAATAAAAATCAGAACAATTTAAAGATTTTTCTGTTTTTAACATCTTATACATAGTTGATGACGATTATGTGAAAATCATAAATGGCTAGAGAGACGATTGCTGAATTGTTGGTTAAAATTGTGTATTGAGTTAGAAAAGAAAGAGATAGAGAAAAAAGAGAGGGAAGGGCGCGTTGATTAAATGAAACGAAACGAACGAGCTTGATGATGATCATTATGAACGGAATGAATGGTCATTAGGATTGAAGGCAAGCTGTCAGCCATGGATCAAACATTCCAGCATGTGACATTCATACATTCAATGAATGAGGCTCCATCATCATCAAGGTTGGCGATTCGTAGGCAAGAATCCCAAGATTGATAAATACAACAACAACAACAACCACCACCATCACTATAGCAATAATGAGGACGACCATCATCAAGTTGATCGCTATTGGTCTATGTTGGCTGTTGTTGTTGTTGTTCATAGTCATTTTCCTCATGATCATCATCATCATCATCATCATCATCATCATCATCATCATCATCATCGGTTGCTTAATAATGATGATGATCATCATAATCATTATGTTGCCCCCACCAGCGAACCGAAAAGAATCGAATCAGCCTTGCAAACAAGCAATGAATCAAGAGCCCGATATAGTATAAATTCAGTGATGAACAACGGATAGAACAAGGCATCTTGCACTATATCGTCATTTAAATAAGACAATGAACGCGACAGATATTTGAGCCCCATTGTCAAATGAAAGATTGGCCTGGCCTCATCACCAGACTCAGACGGCTCATCATCATCATCATTGGCCAATATAAATTTGGTTATTATAATGGAAATTGCAATGATGATGATAGTGATGATGATGATGATGATGATGATGGTGATTACGGCCGCCGATCATGATGATGATGATGATGATGATGATGATGATGGCGATGATTATGTTGATGATGATGATCGTCATCATAATAATAATGATTACCCCAAACCCACGAACACTGTGTATAGCTGCCTATACGACCACCACAAACGAAATAGGCTCTCTCTTTCTCTATATGGTTTGTTCTGGTTCGTTGTTAGCTTGATAGTTCGTTTGTTCGTTCATTTTGGTCAAGTCCCGAACATACAACCAACCGATTGCAACAACAACAAAACTAATAATGATGATGATGATGATGATGATGGCCGTGTGGGGATTCATTTGCTATGTGACTGTATATGATGATAATGATCATCATCATCATCAACTATTCGCTATTCGACATCAGCAGCAAATGATAATGATGATGATGATGATGATGATTTGGGAAATGAATGAATTGAACATACGAAGCAAGAAAAATGAATGCACTACCAAGATGCAAGAAAAAGGCATAATTTCTTTTCGTTTTTGTTTGGGTTTTTCATTTCATTTTGTATTTGACGCTGGTCCTGTACACATCGATTCAATTTGACGATTCTACCATCGTACAAAGTGGAAACCGATGCATACACACAAATTGATACGTTTGATACGGGCACGACCCATGTTATACAACTTTGAAATGGAAGATTACAATAATAAGTTGATCGCTGAACGTAAATGGTCTGAGATTGCTATTGAAATGAATGCTTCCGGTGAGTTATAATCCAATCTAAATTCAGCTGTATCATTAAAGTTATTATATTTTTTTGTTTTGTTTAGTTAGCGAATGTAAGACCAAATGGAATTCGTTGAGAACTGCATTTAATACATACCTGAACAAATTGAAACGAATGAAGAAACCCCGCACCAAATGGATTCATGCCGATGAAATGGCTTTCCTCAAACAATACCTTAAACGCAATCGTTATTCGGCTTCTGCTTCGATACATTCCAACGAAAACAATAATTCCATTCATCACTTGTCCGATAAGGACATACTTTCGACGACTGATGCAGCATTTCTAATGACATTGACAACAATGAAATCGGATGAACACGATTTATCGAATTCGAATCACAGTGGAAGTCATGTCGACTATTATGACATGAATGGACAAACACCGTCGCCAACACATTCCATAATGAATCTATCGATGACAACAAATCGTGCCAGATCTAATTCTATCTCTTCATTTGATCGAGTAACCACTCAACAATTGGTTAACAAATCAAATGTTACCTACGGCAATTCGAAAATTCTGGAGCCTAATCATGTAGACGTAGAAACCTGTGACGACAATGACCATGAATGTCAAAATGACCAACAGGATGATGATGACGATGATAATGATCATGATGATGATATGAGTGAAATCCAACACCATTCCAAGAGACATAAACTTGTGGACAAACAAGAACTGGATGGTGATGAAGAAAAACGTTTGAATAATGTCAAGATGGCCACCACAGTATCGTCTACATCGAATAAAGGCGAGAAAATGAAACGAATCACATTGGAGGCTCCAGAATCGATGCTTATCTGTTTCGATGTACATCACCACAATCACAGTCGACATCATCACAGCAACAATCCATCCAAATGGACGCCAACAACCGTCGAAGATGTGACAGGATCCGAAATGGACATTTTTGCCGATTACGTAGCGATGAAGTTAAAATCATTCTCTGTGGCCAATCGTTTAGAAACAATGACCAAAATCTGGCATCTTCTATCCGAAGCAACGTTGCGCCAATACTCAACCACACCACCAGCATTGGCCAATTTAATACCCATTGTAGCATCACATTGTCCACCGGGAAGCACTAATCTGACACCGCAAGACTTACGTTAACTAAACACTGGTATTATCAATAATAATCAATCCTTTTCCCCTCTATTATCTGTGATATATAGCATGTATAGCAATCATATTGTAATTCCATTATTTGACGCTAAATAAACTAGCCAAACTATTTATTCTTGGCCATCTATACCGATAATAATTTACTCATTCTTGCAATGTATAAACCAGGCAAATGGCAATCATCATTTGACATTAATAATACAATATGCTGCATTTAGATTTGTACGATGCTAGTTGTCAATTTCGGTTGGAATTTTTTCTATGGTCCTAATCATTCACTATAACCAAGGTGCTGTTGGCCAGATTATTTTTGAATTTACAAAAATTCGACCACCAAGAATTTAATAATGACCTCTGCAGCCGATAATAAAGTGGATAGCTACAAATTGATTGATTTGGTTAGACAACGACCCGTTCTTTATGATGAATTGTCACCCGAATATCAACAATACCGTCAACGACAACGTGCTTGGAATGAAGTGTCCAGAATCTTGAAACAGCCAGGTAAGTTTGTCAATGATTTAATGAGAATTTTATATACTAATTGACTACAATCTAACAGTTGACAAATGTCAATACAAATGGCGTTCTATACGGTCCTTGTACAATGGCTATCTACGACGTAAAAGCAAAAATCCCAGCCAACCAATCAGTTGTCAATATTCTGATCAATTGAAATTCCTGGACGAATACCTTCGACGTAAACGCAAATCCAAATCAAAAGAACGTGAACTGGACGAAGCAGAAGAGGAAGAAGAAGAAGTAGAAGAAGAAGAAGAAGATGATGACCAAATGGATGATGAAGAGCAGGACAAAGACGAGGATGAAGAAGAAGATGATGATTTAGACAAAGAGAAGGTGGCAAGCAAAGAGAATTATGTTGGTCGTCTATTGCAGGAGATCTATGACAAACAACAGGAACGACTACGTAATTTCCATCGTCGATCATCACCATTCGTATCGCATACTTCTACAACGACCACAACTGCTTATAAAACACCAGCCATTAATCGAATGTCAAGAACTCCATCCATCAGCCGTTATGACCAATGGAGCAATGACGATGATGATGATGATGATGCCAAACAATCTGTACATCACCAGCAACAACAGAAGCTGATTCTATATCCAACCTCTTGTATTTTAGAAGATCTCAGAATGTGGGGCATGTTCATGGTCATTTTAGCCGTTCTTGCTGCATTGGTTATTTTATGGCCAACATACCTAGGTCGGATCTTGGGACGACTTCGAAGTTAAGAATCATTAATCATCATTGCATTTTACCACATACACACACACACCTCAATCCAAAACGCATATCTATCATATATTTAAGATAATCATCGACATATACACATACATATTATATAATCATTGCAACTAAAAAATTATTTTATCACATACTTTTTTTTGTCACCAAAAGCATGAATTAGTTGACAAGAAACATTTTTTTTCAATCAATGTTTTTATCAAATAAATAAAAAAGCCAACAAAATCATGATATGTGCAGACTTTTTGTCAATCGATGCAATATGTAGATCAATCGGGTATTTTCATCTTCAATCGTTTCATATATCGAGTCATTGATGGTCGTGTTGATCGGTTTTAATCCATTATTATTATCAAAATTAATGCTCTCATCACCAGCTTCAATCATCGGCTCAAGTGGAGGAGATAATTCTGGCATTAACGTAAGAGATGTGGTAGGTGGTGATTCAATAGGTCTTGGACATGGGCGAATCGATGAAACGGTTTCATAAATGGCCTTGTACGGTTGATTCATCATCTTTGTAATGAGTTGGGATTCGTCCACCATGGTTTGGATTCGATCGGTGAATGATTGATCAAACAGACTGGATTGTTGCATATTTTTAACATCCATCACTATGATGTTTTTTTCAAATGGACCATCGTTAGTGTTGTTACTTTTACCATTCTGTTCAATTCGATTCGGTTTTTTGCTTCTTTTTTCACTAGAAGATTTGGATTTCTTTTTCCAATGACGATAATTGTGGCTCAAATCATCATGATGAAAGGACACATCTTTTCCTGTGTTTTTATGACGATTACGACGCATTAAACATCCAGCCATGATCAGAACAGTGATTATAATGATGATGATCAATTTAGATTTCTGGGAAGTCTTGAACTTTATCAGATGCTCGTAGAATTGTGTGGAATTCACTGTTACATTTTGTGGTTCGCTATGGTTAACTTCGTCATCTGTTGTTGTTTTTGCACTTTCTGTTGCTGCTGGTACTATATGATCAATTTGTCTTTCAAATGAACGTTCGATTGCTTGATGGGGATGATGATTGTAAATCCAAGTATCAATTGCTTGGTGTTCGTCATCATTAGCGATGAATGTTTTTGTTGTTATTGTTGTCATCATTGTTCGATGCTCTATTGCTTTGGTTTTCATAAACGTTGCTGTGGTTGGAGATTGCCTTTTCTTTGGTGGCAAAGTCTTTGATGTTCTCATTTTAACAGATCGTATGGTGTGGTGGTCCAATTTGACTTTGCTCCTGGCTAGTTGTTTAGGAGGACTTTGGCTAATTACGGTTTCGGATATCGGTTTAATATAAGTTGGTTTATTAGCGATCACTTTGACAATTTGGTCATTAGTGGCTTGTGGTTGTCGATGATCGTATTGCAAGGCTAGTGGTCGTTGTATAGCCGAAGAATTGCCAAAACAATTAAAGAATTCGGCCATAGAAATTTTTGTTGAGTCTAAATACTCCAGATGACCGGTAATCATACGACTTTGAAGAAAATCGAATTGATCTAGATGGAAACCGCTAATCAGATCATCACGGTGTAGATCGATCACGTCTATTAATGTGCGAGCCAAAATTGCCTTGTCATTATGACATCTAAGTCTGCTCGATATCTGCACGAAACGACGAGGATCAGACATTTGGAACAAACCTCGTAGTAACAAAAGATTGGACATGAGACTGTATTTGAATGGAATCGGTATCAGGCGTAGTTGATGAGAAGGATTATCGTTAGGCAAATATTGATAAAACATTGTCTTAGGCCAGCACACCTGTTGATTCTTACTTGTTTGTTCGAATGAGTCATGGCATATGTCATTCTCAAATGATCGTTCGAAATGACAAAATGTGGCCACAATAAGTTGACCACAAGATGGTTTTGTCATCGTTCCAGAGGATGGTTGAAACAACCGATCGGAAATGGTACGCAATCTAGCTTCAAACATTTCAAGTTGGCTTTTGATGTCATCATATTTTTTAACATCGACATACGGATCTTTATTTAGTGGTGAATGACGGAAATGATTGTTCATATCATTGACACCGGTCATTTTCTCAGGATCAATAATCAATTGTTGCAAATCGGATGCTAACGAATGAACAATATCATTATCAAGAATCGAACGTTTATGTTTTGTCTGTTGGATAACAGATGGCGATACTATGCTAAACAATTCACATAAATCCATTGTGGTCAGATATTGGAGACGATAATGCTGTGTTGAGACATTAACAAATAAATCGTGTTGATTCCAAGCGCTCGACAATAAATGGCCACTTCTCCAATGATACAATCTATATGGTGTTGTTGGATTCATTCGAAAAAGTAGATAATCACCCATCATGAACATAGCTTGAATACGATTTGCATCGATGAAACAGAATCGTTCGATTTGGTTAATTGTTTGGCCAACAGTCCATGCCATTACCATTGAAAATAAAGTGATGTAAAATAGGTATGTGGACATTTCCATTCTGTTCATTATATCACTATATTTATATGATGGTAACGAAATGGTAAATGTAATCAAAAAAAACGACACAATAGCAACGATCGATACACAACTGTTTTATGTACGAAAATAATTATTCGACGATTGATTATTGGTAATAAAAACAATTAGTATACAAGGCAACAATGGCCATTGATTGATATGGCAGAATTTTATTATTTTTTGCATATTTTTCACATCGCTAGACTATGTGTTGAATTCCAAATTGATTCAAGAAAATACAAGCAAAAATTAAAGAGAGGGAAAATAAGGGAAAGAAAAAGAAAGCAAAATGATGAAAAAAGCATTGGCTATCGCAATGTATTGGATGACCATTGATAGTTGTTGTGGCCGGTTGTCTTTTATTGTCGTATCGTGGTGTATCGTTTTCCGTTTTTCCGTAAAATGTCATTCCAGATTATTATACTACTACTACTACTACTCTAAGCCCGTTTACCATATTGATTCAAATCGGATGGCTGTACTTGTTGTGTTGTGGGCCTCAAATTAGCCATATCCCATGCTGCCGATCGTTTGGAGAAACCAATCTTTCGGATGACTGGATCAGCGTATACAGGTTTTTCAATAGTTCGTGTCATATGACCACTGGCCGAAGCATAGGTACCGGCTTTATCCAAACCGGGCAATTCTTTGGAGAAACCAGTAGGACCAGAGATTTGTTTACCATCTTTGCCATAGATAACCGTATGTCGTTCTTCGATAACGGGTCGAACTTCGTGTGTGACTCGTCGATATGGCACAATGACGATTCTTTCCTCGAAAATGATGGGTTTCACTACACGAACCAAAATCCGTCTTGGATTTGGATGTTGAACGACCAATTCTTGAGCATCACCACCATACGATTGACCATAACCTTGGCCACCACTAGCGGCTGCAGACAATGGTTGGCTAGCTGGTAATGTTACAACTTGTTCTTGTGGTGGATTAGCGGCCAACAACGATTGTAACGATGGATAAGCATTCGATGCTGATGATTGTGGAGAAGCCGCCGCAATTGCGGCCGTTGAGGTTTGAGCTGGTGTCAGGGTTGCTTGGCTGGAAGCGATCAACGCTACCATGACCAGTGATGAGGCCAATATCTACAATATATTACAAATAAACAACAGAAAAAAAAACATGATTAATTATATCCAGATTTATATCATCTAGTTCATTGATTAAGCAATGGCCATCGGCCATCTTTTTGTTTAGATAATGCAGATTATTGACTTGTTTTGTTCAAAATGTTTGATCTTTTTTTTTATCAAAGGTTCCAATGTTTTAGGATCAATGATGCAGGACAGATGGGCCAACTAGATTGCCATCGTCATTACATCGAGGTCAGTGGACAGTGCAATTTGTGTTGATTGCTCTTGTTGAATCCAATTAACTGTCACTGAAGAAAAAAGTTACTGCTCTATAGAGTGTGTCTACATCCGCATACCAGTGTATTACAACGCTGGATAGCAATCCATCATCATCATCATCATCATCATGATAATCATGATCATCATCACTGGTAATAGATGGATGGATGGCCATCTCAATTCGATTGGATCGTTGGAACATTTCCGCCGTATGTTTTTATAACATAAAATCATCCACTTTGTTGTTGTTGTTACTGTAGAAACAAACAATCTTGTTGATGATAATCATGCTATGCTTGGATCTTTCTCATAACTAGTAGTATTCAAGTTGTATTATCGAACTTTATTTTCCGATAGATAAGCCTCAAGCGATCATCAAAAATGAATTTGAGCAATTGCCATTAATTGTTTCCTCCCCTCCACCCCACACACACACACACATTAATCGATCCATCCATCTAGCGATGTGTTCCGGATGTAGACTGTATTAAATAATTTTCGTTCGAGGGCACAAAACACCAAATGATTGTGGTCCTGTTTTTTTTTTGTTTTGTTCGTTCATTCTAATTATAACCTAATATCAAAGATAATCGGATCGGAGTACACACGCGTTATTGGTTTTAACTATCGATTTGGATTTATTTATTCATTTACCGGGTATTTATATTTGGTTTTAATTGTTCTCGTTCAATGAATGACTAAATGAACCGTGTCTTTACCTTCTTATGTTTCTATATGAACTATATTATGGAGCCAAATTTATAACAATCATTATCAATTCATCCATGCTTATCATGATTACTTAATAGATCATATATTCGATTGTAATCATTATTTGAATGTCTATTGAATATATTGATCGATATAAGAAAAATTATCGAATCGGTTTTCATAACGAAAACATAGAGAAATAATCTGGCCATAGTAATATAATATTGTCCAAGTTCATACCACGATTGCCAAATGGATCAAAACCCGATCATCATCAGTCAAGCAAAACCAAATGGTCATAGCGTAGGTATTTATATATATTCGACTTTAACAGTGAAAACTTTAATACTCATATAATGTAATTGAACATGGCAAAAAAAAGATCGTTACCAGATTGACCTGTCCATGAATGAACCGGAACAAGTTAGGATTTAGGATTTAATTATATTCAATCAATATATACCAATTATTTTGTCTTCTTATGTTTTTCTCAATTCAATGCCAATGTTGTTGTCTAAATAAAAATGTAAACTACAAACTATCGATACAATCGATTCGGTACAACAATATATGTTCGAAATTCGATTCAACCACCCCTTTCAGCCTTTCACTATCATCAGATTTTTTGCATTAATTTAAACTTACCCGTGACATAATTGGATGCTGTGTATGTAAAGAAATGTTGATTATTCCTTGTTATTATTAGTCCTGTCAAATGACTTTGGATTACTGTTTAGCGTTTTTTTTCCATTTTTTTTAATGATGATCCCCACATCCAATACGATGATATTGATCGATTGCTATTGTGAAATGAAAAAATAAAAATGGATTACTTAATCTTTTCGATACAACAAAAACAGACATTCTTCGATAACAACTTTCATCAACTAATCATCATCATAGACCATTTTATATGATCGAATATGACATCCGTAGAAGAAAAAAAAAGAAGAAGAAGAAGAACATTATGGACAAACGAACTGAAAATCATGTGATAAATATAACCACATCATCATATTATTTAGATGACATCTGACTGGTTGGTATTTAGATGGCTAGTACTGTTTATACCTGTAAATATGTTTCATGCGATCATCACGAACATGATCCTCATTGTCATCAGGATTGTGTTTTGAGAGCCATAGAAAGAGAGAGGTTTATATTCACCAGATTGAATGTTATATATACGAGGAACGATAAAAAAAACGGAGGAAAAAAGTAACCAAAAATAAAAAACCACCACCACCATCATCATCAAACATAAACCATCATGATGATGATGATGATGGTATACTGAATATATTGATGGCTTTTGATGATCCTTTTCGTCATCATCATCATCATCATCACGATCAAAGCATATAGCAGCCAGAGGCAAATCATCATCCATATATATCGACGAAAAAAATGGCCCTTTCTGAGCTATCTCTGAAAGATCTCTGATATGGTCGATATGAAAAACTTATAACCAACCAAACTAACTATTTATCCACGATATCCAGATAGAGTGAGAAAACGAGACAGTCAAATTTGTCAACGTGGCCCCGATATGATCCAGAACCAGATCGATATTTGAATATTTGAACCATAATCATATATATGATGATGATGATGTGATTCAATAATCTCAGTGTCAAACATCGAAATAAACAACAACAACAACAAAAAAAAAAAAAAACAGAAAATTCACTCTGGCAAATATAAATTTGACTCTTCAATTTCGCTCTTTCTGTGTGTGTGTGATAATGTGTAAAATAATAGATAGATTTTTTTTTTTTTTTGTTGAGGGGCTAATTATAGCTACCAACAATATCAGTAGTATGGTTCGTTATTGGGTCCGTTATTTTTTTTTTTTTTAACTATTCGGCTATTTACCTGAATGACATCGATATACAGCATCTAAGTCATTACACAACTGTAGTTGTTTCACTGTCTGGCTATAAATGAGAATATTTTTTTTCTGTTTTTTTTTTTGTTTCTTTTAGAGAAAAAACCATAAAGTAGTCTGTTTGTGAGTGAACGAGTAAATAATATTGGCAAAAGCAACAAGTAAGTAAAAGCAAAGTTAATCCATTCATTCACAATAAAAAATATGATTGTTGGTCAATGGCTACGATCATATTTCGAAATATATGTAATGAATTCGATGATTATAGGACATTAAGTTCAGGATCATCATCATCATCATCGTCATCATCATCATAAGCTAAGTTATTCATTCATAAAGTTCGATTATTTGTCATTGCCAATGTATTGATCACCATCAACATTCAGATGAATAAAAAAAAAAAAAAATTTGTATATGGCCTGATGTGTGTGTGTGTGTGTGTGTATGATGCAAGTCAAAAATTGGTCAACAATATTGGACAATTCATCTTTCATCTTGTCCTTGTGTTTTGATGCATCATCATCATCAATTTTTTTCCCTAGTGACATATTTCCTCACTAACTCATTCACTTTTTCATTCAATTCAATGAATTAAAAGTTCAGCCAATGACCATGGACTAATGATGGATAAATAATAAATAAACAAGTTACCGGGTCATTTTTTTTTTGTTTTGTTTTGTTTTGGCTATCCAATTGAAAAAATCTTTGAGTCGATATAGCCGCTGAATGAATGAATGAATTTCCGGAACTAAATCAAAATTCAATCTAAATGGTCATCAATTATTATGTCCACACACACACACACACACATACATACGAAAAAAAACCGATTTACAGTTGGTTGACCAAACACAAATAAATAAATAAACAAGTGGCAGTGTATGATTGTTTTATGTGTGACAAAAAAAAAATAATAATAATACTTCAAACGGTCTAATGGGCTATGTGAATATCCCAGAATGTGGTCAAACATTTTGGTCATTATGTGTGTGTGTGTGTGTGTGTGTGTGAGAATGTCTAGTAAAAAGATTGAATTGATGAACATTAAAAAAAAGTTATTCAAGCGACACACACACACACACACACTCACACAATAGGTCAACCTGTTGCATGAATTTATTGATTTGAATATATAAAAATACTCACCAGGAATTTTTGGATGGATGAAATTCATTTTTTTTTTTTTGTTTGTGAAAATCGATGAATATATTGATGAAATGATTATATATAGAATATATGTGAAAATGAAAAAAAAGAATAAAAATGATTAGTTGATTAATAATAGAATCAAAAAAAAATATAAGCAAGCCTTTAATTCACAACAACAACAACAACAACAACAAACAACAAAACAACAACAACTGGGTAAAAAAAAACGCCGACACAAACAAACAAACAAACAAACACACAAACACACCTTAGTTATTGATGAGATCCTTTAATGGATTTTGGCTGTTGATGCTACCGATTCGAATGTAAGAATGAATTTTTTTTTTTTTTTGGATTGTCGACAATTTGATTATTATTATTATGATGATGATGATGATGATGTTAATGTTGATGTTGATGGTGATGGTGGATCGTGACAAATGGATGAATTGTATAGTAGAGTAGTAGTAAATAATAATAAATGATAATCATACGTAAGTAAGTGAATATGATTCTTTTGTTGAAACAAACAAACAAGTAAAACTTAAAAACACATGAAACACACACACATTTATATATATAGAAGATAGATATATTTCAACAAATGAATAAAAAAAACAAACAAACAAACGTAAAACATGCAAATGGTTCTTATCCATTACAATTTTTTTTTCGCCTTTTATTTATAAACAATTTCTAGTTATAAAAAAAAAGAGAATAAACATCATGAATGATGATGACTTGTATAAGGCGTGATTTTTTTCATAAGAAAAAAAACATTGGATAGAGAGAGAAACTCTCTTCTTATTTACTGTTGTTCCATAACTATCTCAGTTTATCTCTTTATATCTTATTTTTCTATGAAAATCCAGATTTAAGATCAAGATTGTGAATGAATGAATGAATGGAACAGGTGTTTTTTTTAATAAAAAAAAAACAGAGAGAGAGAGAGAGAGAGAAAGTAAGTCAGTAAGTCATACGATGATTTATACATTTGTGTGTGTGTACCCGCCGTCTCTCTCTCTCTATCACTCTCTATTTCTTCAATTATTTGAAAAAAAATATATAAATATTCGTTATTCACTCTCACCGAAAACGGCAACAATAACAAAATGGAAGGATGCGGTTTTTGTTTTACAGCATATGTATATATATGGGTATGGGTAGCCCATAACGATCGATTTGATAAAATAATAAACTGGACATTCAATGAAAATAATTTCTTGAGATGTGTACATCAAATTACTAATTGCCATGCTATCACGTATTTTTTTTTTTTTTTTTGTTCTCTTTCGGTTAATTGAATTTACCATTCATTGAAGCCAGTTGAATATGAAAGTAACAATTAAATATTTGGCTAAATTTTTTTATTATTATGTTGATGACCATATCCGACGGATCTATTATTGTATTACCATCGATAATATACCATTTTTAACCGGTGGTAGATTATATATAAAAAAAAAATACAGTTACCGGATATCTGTACGATTTTTTTCCATTTAAACCCGTAAGGCAGAACGTTTCGTATTTGTATATCTGACTACCATATAGTTAGTTAAAGCTATTATCGATATCAAGTTTCGGACGAAAAGAAAAAATGGCAACTGGATTTGCAGCTTTATCACACACAACATACACACACACTTTTACAAATGGACAATTCATTCCTGTCATTCAGGTACATTTACATTTTTGGTATTAAAATATGTATCGAATGACATCAAAAATGTCGTGTACGTCGGATATATTCCACACAATGGCCATCAATTAATGTTTGATTGAATTGAATCTAAATAAATTTTTTTTTTTTATTTTCTGGAATAAATCAAGTTCATTTTCACTAAATAGATTATAAAAAGTGATGAAACCTGTTGCTTCTGGTTACAGATGATGACTCTCTTTTTGAATTAATTGCTGGTTTTTTTTATTCAATTCAATTCAATGATGATGATGATGATGATAAAGATGGCTGACTATTGTGCTGTTACTTAAATTTTGAACGATTTTTTCATTTACATATCACATGTATGAGAGAGAATGTGAACAAGTACATTTTACGGTATAGTGCATCAAAAATGAATAGGATCACCAATGAATGACCTAAATCTTGTGATGTTGATGATTTTCTTGACCAATTATTACTGCGAAACAAGATCAAACTACCTTGGAGATCATTGATAGTTTTCTCTTCTCTTTACATTTTTTTTTCTCAGATACACCGGTGATTTCTGCCCATTCTTAGCACACACACACACACATGCATTAAATAATTGAGAGTGAATGAATGAATGAATAAATGATACTATTTATTGCCAATCTATGACCACATTCATTCATTTATATATATATGCAGATGGATCTGATGAATTTGTTGTTGTCTGTTGATGAAAATGACCATTGGCTATTTTGTTAATTATTATACGCTTTCAATGTATAAAAAAAAGCAATTGCCAAAAACAGCTGCTCTCATCGTAAACCATTATTGTATGTATGTAATTTGTTTTTTTTTCCTGTATAAATGGACCAAATGTGTCAAGTAGTGACCATAAATAGAATTGAATTGTGTGTGTGTAGACACACAATTGAATATGAAAATGATATCGGTCGGATCCGGTTGGATCGGATTCCGGTAATTTATTATTGATGACCATATTTTGACTATGGCTATATATTATAAGACTTTTGATTCAAAAAGAAAAAAAAACAAGGGTCACTGTTGATGTTTCGATTATGAATGGTTATTATTTAGTATGGCATTCATATTACACACTGTACATTTATGTTGCTTTTGTTTTGCTTTCACCTTCGTATCCGACCAAGCAGTTATTTTCGGTTCTCTTTCGATGTTGATCTAGATCAACAAAACCATATTGATGATGATGATGATGATCGACCCACTCTCTTTATCCAATTCAATTCGTCTAAAGTCCAGGAAACGAACCGGTTCGTATGATGATGATGATGATGATGATGGAGATTTAGAACAATCGGTCACATCTTACTAGCTTATAATCCAATCGATACGACCCGACCATGGAAAGCATTAGTAGATTCAAGTGTGCATTGTTTGCTCGTCAACACAAACAATAGCAATGATCAGTATGGCACATTGAATGGCTTGTGGCCATCAACTTATTGTTTCACGCTTCTATTATCGATCGTTGTATGCTATTTATTCGCTGGTTTATCACCATTCATATCAACGTTTTATAATATATCACCATAGATGGTTAACCCATTTTGTTGTGGGCTTTTTTGATGTGATCCATTAAGCCGATTTTCAACCATTCGACAAGTCGATCAATCTTTTTTTTTGAAATCGGTCATTTTTTGATGGATCAAATCAGATACAATGAATTCTTTAGATTGGACATCGTACAGGTACAGTGAATTGATGAACAAGTTTTTTTTTGTATCAATAGGAATCAAGGCTTGTATGTATGGCGATACGAATTGCATTGATAACATTGATAATAAGTCAATCAAGTTTTCCTTCACTCTTTTTAATGAATTCTTTGATGCTTTGAGCAATGGACAACGATTGTCATTGAATCGCCCTCTATGTTCGATAGAATTTTGATGGAACATTCGACGAAAGCATTCAGCAGCAGCAACACAAAACCATGAATGACAATGAGGGATATAAATGGATGATCCAGCAATGAATTTGTATGTGTGTGTGTGTGTATGTAGCAAGCATTGATCTTGAACATGATAAACATCCATGATACATTTGATTGATCGATCAATTCAGCTGGATGTCTAGATCATCATGTATTATTTATACATATCATTAGTTATTAACAATCAGACAATGTTTGGGTTAATTTAGCCAAGTCATTTTCATTCATACTACAAATAAAAAAAAACTTTGAATTCATCTTAAACGATAACGATTGGACAATAAATGACAAATTTAAAGATTTCAATTGGAAAAGATCATGTCATCAGCAAAGATTTTTTTGTATGATTATCGTTTGTGAGAAACTTTGATAAATATTTTCTCTTGTAATCATTAAATGGTCGTAATCAAAAAAAAAAAATGATCATCGTAACAAATATATCGTCCTTGATGATCATCAATGTGTTCACAATCATCAATGATCATCATCATTGAATAGCCAAGATGTTATAAACACAGAAATACCAAGAAAATAAAAATCAATCCACATTTGAACACGCCCGGAATTTTCAAGCAAAAAAAAAAAAAAAAAAATGTAAAGGCGCTACCCATTTGAATGATCTAAATTTGGATTTACTACTACTATTATCCAATCGAAACTAATCGATTTGAATTGAATGTTCAAAGTTCGATATCAACTGAATTATAAGTTATGCCATTTCTATTGAGCTTGAAGCACTTTCACTGTAAGTAAATGTGGTTAAAAACAACAACAACAACAACAACAACAAACCATTATTATTATGATGATCAAATGGATAACTTACTTGTTGTTCATCAAAAAAAAAAAAAAAAACATTGGAATTTCCATTTCGAATCCATAACAAATTCTTTTTTTATTTGCTATCTCACTAATAATCTGGCGTCCTCTTTTATTATTATCGATCGATTTAGATTCTTTTTGTTGTTGTTGTCCACCAAATTAAAATCACCACAACGTAATGGTCATCAATGGTCGTCGTCGTCGTCGATGATGATGATGATGATGATAAAAAAAACGTGTACAGTGTCAAATACGGCAAGGATATACAACAACAACAACAACAACAAGGCTGCTTATCTCCTTGATGTTGAATGTTTTTTGTGTTCATCATCATCGTAATCGTAACAATTATGATAACATCTCCCTGCTCTGAATACACACACACACACACACAGAGGACGATTATGTGACATGAACTTAATAAAAACACACATACACATTGCAGTGAGCAGCAAATCGAATCGAATTATTTTTTGACCATTTTTTTTTATCCAAAACAGGATTCCAAAAAAAACAAAAAAAATCGATGCCGACAATAATCTTAAAATCAATATATAATAAGTCTGACTGATGATGACGTAAGATATTTGATTTGATTTTTATTTTTTCCCAAAAAAAAAAAAAAAATTCAATTTCAAATTTTTCATATCGAGAATGTATGATAAAAAAAATGACATGGTCAAAAACAAAAAACAAGCCAAATGTAATTTTTGAACAAAAGTTCCACGTGTTTCATTCAACAAATCTATCTATTGCTGATGGCCACTTTTTTTTGTAATTGCCATTCAAATGTTGATTGAATCTATCTATCTATCAATTGATTGATTGATTGATTGATTGATTGAATGAATGAATGAATGAATTTTATGAAGAATCTATGATTACTTTTCAATCATAATCATAGCCAATCGATTTTTTTTTTAATAAGTTCCTGATTGTTGATTGTGCAGTTAATCATTGGATTGTTTCACTATTTCTGATGGCTCTCTGTGTGTGCGTGTGTGTGTGTGTATGTCTGGGATAAGATTAAGAATCGTTTGGATTAGCAATTTGATATCCGGAAAGTGAATATTTGGAAGCTTGTAAATTTTCTTTCAACA